TAGTAAAAAAGTAAACGTAAAAATTGAAATTCAATGTTATAACTTTAAATTGAATATTTGGATAGCGTACAATCTTATCAAGTCAAACATTTCCAGCACCATTTACAATTCCAATCAATAATAATCCATAAAACTGAGTTTCTATCAAGATTCTGTCGACATCAATGATAGTCGGAACAATTCAGGATCACTAGATGGCCCTTAGCATTCATTTAATTGCTTGAATCAAGCGTTGACAAAATGAGGCATCTTCATCATTTTTATTATGCAGAGTAACAATAAAAAGAGTCTCAGCAATAAATAAATGTCGCAGCAATTATCGAATATAAATTTTGTTAAAGAAGTGAAAATTCAATGGCAAATAAAGAGAAAGATTTATTAATAAATAAAATTTTAACTGGAAACTGAGAGTTAAATCGACTTAGTAACAGATCTAATTAGACTTAACGAGTGAAGTGTTAATAATCACTGAAAGTACTTAATAATGAAGATTCAGTTTTAAAAAGGTTATTTATACAAGTTTAAATCAATGACATCACTAAAGCTAGCCAATGATGAAAAGATGAGACATGGGAATGAATGACTCTAATTTTAACGTAAAATAGTCTATCCCTAGCAATCCTTTTGATTTCTCATCACTTTTGCTTTTCTTTTCTTCTTGTGTTGACTTGCCTTTTGATTGACTATCATCTAATTGGAGTAAATGTTAGCATTTAAACTTCTTGATAGCAGTTCTAAATAAGTTCTTAAACAATAATTTACCTTTCATCGAGTCAATCTTTAAACGTATTTTCAAATTGTATTATTAAATGGAAATTGTTTCCTTGCTTTCACCCAACTTTTTCTTTCTTTTCTTATCTTCTGGTTTAATGCATTTTGTCTTCAACATTTCATCCAACTAGTGATCATTATCCTGATGAAAAGAGGACGAAAAAAGAAGAAGCTACAGAGAAAAAAACACAAACCTTTAATTTAATAAACTAAATCAACATATCAATTAACCAGTAAACATTTTATCCTAAATAGAGCAACAAAAAAAGTACAACTCACTTTGAATATTCAAATTGTGCCAATTAAAAATTCATGATCAAAGTGAATAAAGAAAAGATTCAAAATTTCACTTTTTTTAAGCAAATCAACACAAATTTAAATTACCAAATCTGAATGATGAAAGTTTAATTTTGTTTAACGTTAGACGTTTGGAAGAGCAAAAAAAGTTCAACAGAAAGTTGAACGTGACTTGAGGCTGACTGAGGTTCAACACTTTGTCCCGTCAAGTTGACTCTTTGGGTTGAGTCGAGTATAGCAAGTGGTTCGACTGTGTGAGTGCTTATTGATAGTTTTTTTGCTGTGAGGTTGACGATGATAAATGATGTGAAAGGTAAAGATTAATTTTATCATGATATTAACATTCTGGCAAGCTGAACATGAACAACTATCAAACGGTAAGGATGTAAAAAGTTGTCAAACTGATAATAATAATTAACTGTTGAAGGAAAGTATAAAAAGTTGGGAGGAAAGAATCTGCAGAAGAAAAAAAACAAAACTTCAATTTTAGGGCAACTTTGGTTCAATCTTAACCTTTAACTTGTCAAGTTTGTCAAGATATTATTAACTGTAAAACAGTTTCATGTTGATAAAAGTTGAACCAATGAAAACGGAAGTTGTTGTTGAAAAAGAAAGTGATGAAGATGAGGAAGAGCGGGTAAGAAGATGAGAAAAAAAAGTTTGTATAATTTTGGCAAAATGTCACCAAAATGAGGAAAAACAAGAAGCAATAGAATGTTGAAATGAGCTGTGAGGGAGGAAAAAAAAGTGTAGAGAAAAAGAGAGTAAAAGAAGAGATAAAGTTGAGAATTGAAGGAGAAAACGAAGAAGAAGAAGAAGAAAATCAAAATTTGAAGTGGAAAGGCAATGATGAAGATGAAGAGTTGAAGAGAAAAGGGTTGAAGGAAGACTGGAATTTGGCATGGAAAAAGTTCTTGAAAAGCTTTTGAAAGCAGTGTTCATCGAAGATTGATTTAAATCTGAAATGTTTTTACCTCTTCTTATGTTCACCTTTTTGTTGCACTTACCTTTCCAATTTCATCGTCATTGAAGTCTTTTTCATCCTTCATTTGTCCTCCCTATTCATCATCATCTCCATCATATTGAACAATTTTCAGCTCATTCATTTAAACATGTTTACCAATGAGAAGTGAAAAAATGTCACAATAACAAGTTTCCATTCTCATCTCATTTGTTTCACATTCTGATTCATGATATAATTCGTATTATTATTGCCATTATATCAAAATATTATCATGTTTAGTCGAGTTTCCATTTCTTTTTTTCTCTCACTTCTTTTTCTGTTTCATTGCAAGTTTCAATCAAAAGGCTAAATCACAATTTTTTCTCCTCTTCGCCGTCAGAACTTTTTTTTCTCCTTCTCTTGTAAGTTATGAGATTTCTTTTTTTCAAAGATAATTTCTTATTCTTCTTACTTTCATGATATGAATCTCTTGCCAGATACATTAAATCACCAACGATACTTGAATAATGTTGAGAAAAACAGAAATGTATATTCAATTTGACAGATAACCAAAGTTGATTTTCTTCCATCATCTTAATTCATTCATTCATTCATTCATCTTCATCATTCCTTTGCCTCACCCTGTTGATACTCGTTCATTTAAATACAAATTTCCCCTGAAATAGTTCAATGGTTTGTTGACATTTAATAATTTTTCCTGTCGACTTTTCCATTTATACTTTTCTCTCTTTGTTTTTGTGAAGAAGAAAAAAAAATGTTGCAAAAAAAAGTTTATGAAAATAATTGCAATTTTGTTGGAATTCAAAGAAGAAGGAAAAAAAGGAAATTTCAATTTCTCTGATTTGAGCATGGAAATTTCATTATTCAAGTTTCAAATTGAAATTGTTGTTCGAATGTTCAATAATTTGAAATTCATTTTCAAAACACTTATTCACAATAACTGTCAACTCTTTTATCACTCCAACTGTTAACATATTTAAATGTATTCAGCCATTTTTTGGAAACTTTTGTTTTCTCTCTCAAAGGGTTATCATGTGAAAAAATGTTCAATATTAAAAATTGATATTCATGTTTACCTTCAGTTTGCAAATGTTATTGAAACTTTGTATTTAAAATGGTGTAATTATTAGAGGGGAACAAATAATTAACTAGAAAAATTTTTTTGGTGGTTTTGAGTTGCGCTTTTAATTGCATTTACCTGAATGGACTTGGAGTTAACAGATTATCATAATTATGCAAATTGAATTTTACAGGATGAAGTTAATAGAAGGCAAGAAAATATCAAACTTGTTATTCGACTTTCTTTTGGATTTCTTTTGTTCTTTTTTCTTCTTCTTCTTCTTCTTAATACTTTTTCTGTTCAAATTTTGATTGCTGCTAATTGGAACAAACGAATTGTAAAAATGGTTAACTTTGTTTGCATTTAAATTCATTTAGAGGACCTTTTAATTAACTAATCATTTTAACCTTCTTGCATTTTCGCTGCTAACTCACATGATACCTGAATTGTCATAATGAGATTAAAATGATTCGAGTGTTTAACTAGATAGGAAAATGATGAATACTGATTAACCTTGAAACTTGAGTAACATGAACATGGTTCACAGAACAGTGTAACATGAAAATATTAAGTTGATTGATTAATGACGCTTAAAGGTAAAATGTTTTCTGTCTTTCAGTAAGAAAAGTGAGATTCCATGCAATCTGATCCATTCGTGTTTCAATAGTCATTACTGGTCGATTCTTGAGCAATAATTTGATATTTTTTTCATTTTTCACCCAAAAAGGATCAATTGATTGCAGATATCAAGTCGGTTCAGCTTAGTGTTGGTTATTGGGAAAATAATTTCCTTGTTTGCTGTTCAGTATTAGTTCAATTTTTATTTGACAATCAAACCATTGTCAAGTCAGCTCAGGCAGAATCACTTAAACATGAGCACTGAGGAAAAGACCCAGATTTTGCACAAATTTTGCTCACAAGTTTCATGCTCATGACCGACATATAAAAACGCTCATTTGCATTTTCTAATTTTGTCAATTCTTTTATTTCATTCATTAATTTTTAGAAGGATTATCGAAGCACAGTTTCAGTTGGTGAGCTTTGTTTGTCTGAAACGAATTACCGAAACGAATCCAGATTACGTTATCGTTTGATTTTTGAACTTTATTTCTATGAATCAATTAGAGACATTTATGAATCGATCAAGAAACAAATTTGAAGATGCAGCGCAAGTCGAGATGGCTTACTCAATGGGGACTTAAGCTCACAACTTTTACCTGAAAGGGCAAAGAAGCATCCATGATGCAAATTTTGTGCCGATGATTAAGTAAAAGTTCAATTTTAATAATTATATCGATCATTTTTCATGGCAGACTAAGTATTCAATTCAATTTCAACTAATCAATTTAATGTGTAGATGGATAAACTATTTTACAAACAGCTTTTATCACATTAACTTTTTTGGCCAACTGCTGTCAACTTATCAAAGGGAAATTACTTTTAAATAAAAAGTACGTTTAAACTGGGAGTGAATTTTTGGTTACTTAAATTTTTCTTCCTCTTCATCGATTCATTATTATCATGTAAGGCATGTTAAATGATTGGATGTTTGATGAGAGAGGAAAATTCTTACCTGTAACGTCAATATGCACTTATGAAAATGGCATTTTTTTCAAAAGATGAAAAAGTTTGTCATAAATAGATATTATCATGACAAGTGTAAAAGTAGAGCAAATGATCAAAAAAGATGAGCAAATTGGTTGAGCAGATATTGATTAGCGTAAACAAGTTGAAATGCTTCATCTTGTAAATGGTTAACGTTTTGGTGCAATTTTTTTTCTTCAACAAAATTTTCAATAAAATCAATTTTTACTTTTACATTTAAGGTGATTTTGTTGAATGGTTAACAAAAATGTTGCTCTGTAGTGATTTATCGAAGTTTCAAGAAAATCTTTTTTTTCTTCTTACCTTGTATATTCTCCAGTAAAGAAATAAGATGACCATTAAGGGTCCGTAAAAGGTTGATATTGTGGCAAATATTTGGTATCCCATGTGTTGTGAGATTAGGCAACGTTTCTCAATGGTTACTCTTCGTTCATAGTCGGGATCTTTCCAGCCCAGGATAGGGCCAATGGAGACGATAGAGCCACTGACCAAACGGAGAGTATAATTGAACATATTTTGGTTGGTGACCGGGAATGCATGTAAGTTACAGAGTTGACAGCCCAGTACCTGTCAAGAGCAATGGCAACAAGGTGAAGTATCGAAGCTGTACAACAAAGAACGTCAGCCGAGGTCCAAATGTCACATAATAATGAACCCAGTGACCATTCCCCTTGAACCTCATAGAGGGCACCTAAAGGCATTACCAGGCAGGCAACCATGAAATCGGCTGCTGCCAATGAGGCAACAAGATAATTTTGAATATTTTGAAGGTTACGGTCAATCCAGATGGCAACCATAACAAACAGGTTACCAATAACAGTGGAAAGTATGAGAGCTCCAAGGGTCAGGGAGGTTATTAGGGTAAAGATTAGGGAACGGTAAGAGGCTTCATCTTGACTATCATAAAGGGTACCGTTGGTGGTGATATTGAAAAAGAGTGTAGACTCGGAGTCATTGTAAAGTCCAGGGAGAAAGGGTGATGATGTAGGTGAGTGGGTTGAGAGAGAGGAAGGTGAAAGGTAGCTTGATGTGGGACTGCCTGTTGAACTGCCTGTTGAGTGAGAGGCTGATGGACTGGGTAAGGGTGACCCAGGTGAGGATGAGGTACCGTTGATGGCTATGATTGACTCGTTGTGATAGTTTAGTAGGTAGAGGGAAGTGTGTGAATTGGCTGTGATCAGTGAAGACAGACTTGGTGTAAATGTGATTATTGAAGAGGCAGTTGAAGAGAGCAATGGTGACGCTGATGATGAGGTGGATGAGGCCACTGATGAGGTTGAGATTAGGGTTGATGAAGGTGAAGGTGAAGATGATTTTACACTGTTTACATCACTCCAAGTTATTGCGGATGAAATCAAGTTGAGATAATCTGTAACAGGCATTGAAATTCTGTTCAGATTTTCAACAGTTTTCACAATTAAATTATTTCGTCAAGTTTTTTTATCCGTTGTTATTGTCTTTTAAACACACATTAAACATGGTGACAAGTTTATTGACACAAAATTAATCACTTTAATTAAACACTAACTTAACGAAATCACAATTCACAAGTAAATGTATCACAAATGATGATATTGTCTTCAAATTTGCTCTATTTTTCACTTTAGTTTCGGTTTTAGTTTACGATTTTTATCGTTTCATGCAAATCTTTGACGATTGTTCTGCAAATCAAACCAAGTTTTTCTACGCGCGAAATTTTGCAAAGAAATTGAATGAAAGACGAAAAAGATCGACTTTTTGTTTCTGTTAATCCAAATTGAACGAAAAGGAAAGTTTTACCTTTCGTCTTTTGAAGTTATTCAAAGTTTAAGTTGATAAATATTTACATTTTATTGGAAATTAAATAGGAATGGAACGAAACGTTGCTATCAATCGGTGTTGTCTCTACAACAATTCAACCAATTCTGAAATGGAAATTCAGTTCTGTTATACTTTCCCTGATCTTCAGTCTTTCAACTTTTCCACAGCTCCTTCAGATGATCAATTTTGTTCACTTGAGTTTACTCAGATTATATCATATGAAACACGCAACCTCAACTTCAACTTTGCCTTTGGTAATTGTTAACGTTAACAGTTCATTTGCAACTTGCTTTTGTTCATGAAAAGTTTCAAATTTTCGTTGCTCTTCAACCAGCGAAAAATTAAAGCGTAAACTGAAAAATTGTTTCATCTGCTATGGAATTATCTTGAAACATTGACGCTATTTAAAGATGATTTTGATGAATAATTGAAATAGATTCTTAAAATACAGATTTTTCATTTGCTGTTGAGTGTTTGAACAAATTTCAACACAAGATTTAATGATCTTACAATATCAAGCCATTTTAATAACAGATGGTGTTTGAAACAAAGTCTGTAAGGTGCTTTGAATTTAATCAAGAAGAATGGCTTATTAATAAATTATCAAGACATTAACGAAAGCAGGATTTTCACAAAACGAAACAAGAATTTTAATTTGCGAGGACCAATTCCTCAAAAGAGCTGGATCTTGAAGTGCAATTTTTACAATAATCAAACTTGTCCATTGAAATCTGAGAAAATGGAAATTGAACATTTTGTACTTTGCGAGTTCTTAAAGCTTACAGCTTTTTAGCCATTCTCAGTCAGCCAACGATGATTCTCAATGCGCGTTCAGTGATTCATCTAAATTTATAGTCAATGGTATCAAAATGCTGTTCGATATTAGACTAAATATAAAAATCTAATGAGAAGATGAATGATGACTGAAGAAGAATGAAGATGAAGAAGATGTATGACTGTGTTATGACTTGAATGTCAGTTTCAGTGTTTTTTTCAAGTTATCTATCAAATCTATAATCTGAATGAATTTTTCGGCACTTTATCACTTGCAACTTGAATTTCAAGTCTCAATGGGTCAGCAATTACTCTTGATTGTTCCCTTGATCAAACAACAGAATTATTTTACTTGCGTTGACTTAAGTTGAGTTTGCATGAGATTTCGGTTTACATTAAAAAACGTTTATTCCAAGATTGCGGTGATGATTATGGTTATCATGTTGATGAGGATAATGATTAATTTTAAAGTAAATTAAAGAGCAATTAGCGCCTAATAATGTGCAAAACAAGAAGCTGATAAAAATCTGTTTTTTGGGTTACAACTTTACACGAATAATTAGAAGATGAGAAAGATTAATTTCCATCTTGATAAATTTTCACAATTAAAACAGATTTGTCGCTCTTCAGTCTTTTCATTTTCACCATTCATCACAACTGAAGGCATCTTTGATCAACTTTAACCCTAATTCAACAATAAGCAAGATTAATATTCAAAATCAAGTGTTGAAATGGACTGAAATTAAGGATTGGTTGAAATGTTTTTCATTTTTCTATTTTCATACATTCCATTTAAATACACATTTACTGCCTCAAGTTAATGAGTTTTTTGGTCAAAATTTTCATTTCTTTAACAATTTTGTTTCTGTTTTGAAGAGTTATCAAGGATGCTAAATGATTTAAAATCAATTGTTTGCTGATAATTACAGAGTTAATTTAACATTTAAAAAGAGCAATAAATTTATGAGAAAGGTTAATTTGGTTAACTTGAATTTGCAAGATTAATTAATTGATGCTTGCTTCTACAATTTACACGCAAGTGTATATTAAATGACGAGGTGGGATTAAGATTGCGGTCAGATAAAGTAATTTTTGCAACATGATAATGAGCAAGGTAAAATAACATGGAAACTAATTGTTTCTAGAAGCAGTTTGCTGTAACCAACAAAGGAAGGTGAAATAATGTCGACAATAAATAACAATTAAAGGTAGATTGGGATGAAAAAAAGTGAGCACGTACAGTGTACACTATAATTGAAATGAATTTGATTCACGATGGAGGAATATTTTAGAAACAATTGAGTTGAGAAGGCAATTGAGTGAGGAAATCTTTAACTTGTTGATCTTCAATAAAATGATGGTTAAGGTGTACAAAATTAAATTAAATTCAGTGAACAACTAGATAATGAGATTCTCTTGAAATGTCTGATAATCACTATTCAACTCTAGTAGCAGCTCTATTCATGAGTAGTTCATTTGCATCCTTGGCTGATAACCAGCAATTTACTCGATCAAACCTCATTTTCAAATGTATGGCTCCACAGAAGTAAATATTTCTGTTGAATGATTAAACGCAAAGTTGGCTTCAAAGGTAACGATTAAAAGTCGAGTCCCGTAATCTGCCAGATTATCATAGTTGGCTGAAGAAGCAAAAACCATCAAAGGACCACTAGAGTTGATTAGCACTTGCAATTATTCACTGTTGCCATTACAAAAATGGATTTTGTCAAAACCAAGATTATCATTAGCAACTCATCGAGTAATAAAAAAAAGTGTTTCTGCTAAAGTAGATCTCAAGTGCTCTTCATTTCATCCCAACTCTTAACTGTTTTTTAAACACAACTTGTGTTTACTTTCAACCAGACTTTTCTTGATTCCATCTTTGCTTGACAATTAACAAGCTTTTTAACCAGATTTTTGTCTTTTCGTCTCTTCCAATTTCAACCCTTCAATCTCCACCTTCGTGTCTTTTTCCTGTTCCTTTTATTTCACCTTTCGTTAGCATAAATTTGTATTTCTCTTTTTGCTGTAAAGCGTCTTGTGTCTTTCATTCTGGATCTTCCTTTGCATAATAAGCACGAATCTCCTCATCATTGATGAGCTTCCTTGATGATTAATTTTACATTTTCATGACATTTACTTTGCTTCCAGTTTTTCTCAAGCATCATCATCATCTCCTTGGCCTCCAAAATAATGTTCATCTTTGAGCGAGAAAAGCTAACGGCCTGCGATTTGAAAGAAAAAGAGACAAAAATAAAAATTTAAATTAATATCTTATTAACTTGTTGCTTCTCACAACAATTTACTAATTACCTAGTAAACAACAGCAACAAATGCATTCAATTTTAAAGTGACGTCAAGGCAATGTTTTGTTGTTAGAGTAACATTAGCGATTCAAATTGTTTCCCAGGACATTTTTATTGTGAGAAATGTCATCTATACCATTGTTTTTAATCAATGTCAATCATCATAATCTGAGTTTCACCATGTAATACACATCTTTCCATGACGAGCCATAAAGTTTACTATGATGGCAATAACGATGTTTTGCTTGTTGACGTTCAGCTTTATATTGTTGTCTCTGTAGGATGCAATTGAAAGTTACTTATGTAAATAAGATGTTTAGATGTTATTTCACTTGTTATTAAGTGAAAGAGAAAACCTTTTTTTTCTAAAAATAACCAACTCAATTTGATTTGAACATACATTTGTATACATTGTATTATTAATAATATCTTTGGCTAATTTAAATTGACTCAATTAATAATGAAAAAATCTCGTGAGCATTGATGACTATCATTTGAGAAATCATTTTGAGTGGGAAATTTGAGAAATCATTACCATTAAGAAATGTAAATATGATAATTAACTGTAATCATCAACTGATTGAGAATCAAAAATAGATGCATTATGCAATTGATTAATTGAATAACATTTTGAAAATGTTTCATCTTGAAATTGTGTTGATAATTCAAGTTTAAAGAGATTAATATGTTAGCTCTAACAAACCATAATTGGTTTATCATTACAGGTTAGCTTGAGATTAATATATCAATCAGTTGAGTAAAATCCTTGTAACTGTAATTGCTGTAAATTAAAGTTTCCAAAGAGGTTCACTCATCGATTCATCATTTCACCATCATTCAATTTGATGTGTTTTTTTTGTTAAAAGGTTAGAGATTGAAATGTTAATAGTTTGGTTGATGGTTTGGTTCAACTGGTTATTCTTGTTGGGTGATTAAAGAGATGGGAAATTTAGTTTGGAAAAGGAGATTCAAGCGACAAAAAAAAGTCCTGCAAAGTTAATTTAATCAATAACATTCATCATTTTTATGTTCATCAATTTGTGATGTTGCAAATTAATTCTGTTATCAAAAGCTGTTTAAGGTAAATTGTGAGTGTGTTAGATGTTGAAGGGTAATTAGGAGGCCTAATTTTGATTATAAAAAAACTCTAAGAAATGGTTGAATATTTTTGCATCATTTATGGGAAAGCAGAAATTGTTAGTCTTGTTAAGGCTTATTAAAATATTCAAGTTTCAACAAAATTAGTCAACCATTTGATTAATTGTCAGTTGATGATCGAGTAAAATCAAATTTAAATGGCCGGTACATGAATAACTATCATCAAATATTAACAGTTGAAAAGCGCATCAAAAATACCAAAGAATCCAATTTTGCTTGTTTTTCATCCTTTCAAGGTAATTGTACAAAATCGATGGGATCCACTACTGATTAACCAATGATTGAAATCCAAGTTTTTGATTCTGCAAAGAGAATGAAAAAGAGTTAATTAGATTGATTGAAAGAAAGGTATGAGTAATGATGAAGCCAACAGTTAAATGTAAATATTTTGGTAAAAATTGTTGACTAGAAAACTTGCAATTGAAAATAATTGTCGAGGAGTTAGAGGATTAAGATTATTGAATGCTTTAAAAGGTTAATTAGTGAGATTTTTTGAGGTGCAGAATTAATGTTTAGATAATTTTAACATGAGATTGTGTAGAGTATAATAAAGTAATTTTGAAAGGAAGAAAATAAAATTAGTTGGAGAAGAGTTAATTTAGACAAGGTACAATGACAAGTAATTAGTCGAACGATGGATCCTTTTTTCTGCCAAAGGTAAGCTTGTTACTGAAAGCATTTAAGAAACGATTAGTATGAATGAGATGATTGAATGAAAGGGTTAATGAAAACAAATCTCATGATGAAGGTCAGGTTTGTTGCGTGTCAAGATATTTCAATTGACTAGGGGAAAAAGTGGTTAATAGCTAGTAAATAAGTTGATAATACTATTAGCAAGGAAATGATAATGGAGGTTTAGGATTAACTCAAGAAGAGACTCCTGTCCATTTGAATTAGGGATTAACAGGTAACAATTATTTAACCAATTATCCATTTATGTTGTTCCGAAGCAAACCTTCTATCTTGACCAATCTCATCAATTTCTTCATTATTCACTTTCGTCTGTTGTGGTTCTTTCTCCTCCTTTCTGTTTAACCATGCTTGGTTTGTTTTTAATCATCAAAGTTCATCTTCATCATTTTAAAGTGAGAGCCATAAATAATAAAATGTAGTTGGCCTTTTGTTGCTTTCCAAATTTTCCTGGTAATTAACAGTGGAAATAATTATTTTCATTTGTCCTACACTGAAAAACAGAAACAATGGAGGAAAAAACAGATTATGAGAAAAGGTTGAAATGATTAATCCATAAGGGTTTTGGAGGTTGAAAAAGGAAACATGAAAATGTGACAAAAAATACTGACCTAAACCTTGTAGTTTTAAAGCTTGACCTGGTTGTAACGAGCGACAATCAATCAAGATCACAAGTCTAGACTTTGGGTGGAAATTGCTTCATCAAATAACTCATTGATAAGTTGTATTGCTATCATTATTGAATTAGTTTCCGATTTTTATTCTGATTTCAGCCTTTGGATTGTCTTGATTATTGTATTCTTCCGGAATCTTTGGATCAACCATACAATGGGAAAAGAGTAATCTGTAAAATAGAGAAGATTTTAGTTTATTGGGAAAATAAATAATAATAATTGGTGATATCTTTCATAATGATAATCGGATTTAGTTAAGGTAAATTAATTTCGTTTTAGTAAATTGTGATTTTCACTGATAGATTAAGTTATAACCGAAAACTTGATTCAGTGTTTCTTTTTTTGTCATCTAATACAAGACTAAGGTCCATTAAGGAGAGCCATTTGACGAGAAAAAAAGATTCATAAAGTAATAAATGTAACATAAATTATTACCTCTTTTGTGAAAATTTGGCCCACTCAATAATTCATATAAGAATGAATTTACTCATAATAACGTTGAAATGATTTATGTATAGAGTAGAGTTGAATTACACCAATGGTCAACTGATTGTTAATTGTTACCATTCTGTATCACTTTTGGTTAAACATATCGATGAAGGGAAGGGAAATATATCATATAATGAAGCATGGGTACTGACCTTGTTGGTTAAAGATTAGTTTGACAAAGTAACCATGAAAATGGCAAGTTTAGTCAAAGGCCTTGAACAATGTTGATGAATTAAGACGATGGATTCCAAATAATTAGAGGACACATTTTGGCTAAAAATTAAAAAGTAAGACATTAAGATGAGAAAAAAATGAGAGATGATAGCTGAGAGGGAGAGTTAATAATAACAAGAAAGGCTTGATTATGAGAGGAGGGAGGACATAGAAATCTAATTACAGTCAGGGCATGGTTAATCGTCAATCAAAGTAAGAGAAAGTTTAATCCGGCCTAAGATATAAAATGTCCTGGTCTAACTAGTTATTTAATTAGTTGATTCTTATCTTCAGTATAGAAAAGTTCTCGTCTAAAAACCTACTGAGTTTTCCATTAAATTTTTGCTACTGAATAACTGTAGTTTTATACAGTAAGAAGTAACATTTTCACTTATTTACATTTTACCTGTTTGTGCAAAAAAAACAAAGAGTTCAAGTTTTTCCATTTTCTGCTATCAAGTTGAATCAAGTGAAGACAAAATGCGTGTCTGTTTAATTTCCCTCTGTGTCATCTTGTGTGCTGTATACACTCAATCTGAGTCTCGTCAGTATTATCCTGGAGTTGGATATGTTTCCACTGGAGATCGACCTGTTAAATCTTCACGATTACGAGCAGCTCCAGCAGCAGCTAGAAATAGTCAACAACGATCACGACCTGCTCGATTGAGAGAAGACTATGAGCTTTTGGAAAGGGAAGAGCTTGCTCCAGCTCGACGACAGACTCGACGAAATAATCGCAACTCAAATAGAAGATCCTCTGCTCGACGTTCATCACCTGGTCGTCGGTATCGATTAGCTCGCAATGAAGCCACAACAGTTGATCCGCCACCAGCTTCAGAGCCAGTTGCTCCCTTACCAGCACAACCAGCACAAGCTGCCTCTCAACCATCTCTTTCAGCCGATTCTTCACCAGTGCGCGCCTTTGGAGGAATATTTCCAAACTTCCAAGCTGGAGGTTTAGGTGGTGTAACCGGTGGTGGCTTTGCTCAAACAAATGGACCTGGAGCTGCTTTTGCTGCTGGTTTTGCACAATCAAGTGGATCACAATCATTCGCTGGTGGCTTTGGAGCTGTTATCAACCATCCAAAATTCCCCAAATTTGGAGGATCTGGTCGACCAATCAATAAAAATGATAAAGATTCCGATCTAGACAATGTTAGCAGCAAAGACGATGCACGATCAGATGATTCAGGTTTTGATGATCCAATTGACGACTCTGAAAGGTAAGTTTTGATTTGAAATTAGTAAGAATCTTGAAAGTTGAGATTGAAAATAGCATTTCCTGTTATCTTTTGAATTGACCTTTTGTCACCAGAAGCTTTACATTACAGCTTTTTCATCGTTCATTTTGATTTAACTATCACAGTTCCAATTTGAGTATTACATTATTATGATAGTTATTACGCTGATTATTATACCAATCACCTTGTATACAAAGTTGTCCTGAAAGACCTTGTCAACTGAATATTATTGTATGCAAATATCAAGTTAACATTAGAAATTATAGATGTTATGTGAGACATGAACCGTCCGTTAGTTTTAGTTACCTTCAGATAAGGATCAATTAAAATCCTTAAAGGAAGAGGGATGAGATTGTCAGGGTGAGACACGCGTTTTACGCACCTAATGAACAATGTTTTGATTTCTGAAATGGTGAGAGCAAATTGCTGAGCATCACGAAATAACTAACTTACGTGACTGGTTACTTAATCGCTGTATTTAGTTGCAACATTTAACTGAGTAAACGCTAGTAAAATAAGAAAAGAGCTTACAGCAAAGAAAAGCTTGTTAAGAACTGGATAGCGTGTTAAACTTGAAACAGTAAAATGTTCTAAATTATGTCAACTTTCTCACATTAACTTTTTACCTTCTTTCTACTTTTAATAACTCAACGATAATCTGCTGGTGATAAATTGAATAACAAAAGATATTTACTAACATAAAAGATATTGAAGATGATTCTTAAGCCTTTCAGATGCAGACAGCTTGAGCCAAAAATAGATATTATTTGTCATCAAGAAGTGAATCTTTAATAATTTTAAGCACTCCTTTGGGTCTGTAAGAGATATGGAAGAAGAAATTGTTAAATGTCAGCCTTTGGTTCAAAGATTGTTCTACCTTTTTCATGCATAAGAATCTGAAATTATCTTTTCAGCGATAGTCGAGATTTTGAAGATAGAGAGAAATATAGCGTAGATTTGATGAGTGATTGGACTCGAGACATCATGGCAACTACATGCATCTTTCCTCTAGTTAACTCCTCTGGAGATCTAACAAGTTAAAATTGAAAACGAAAAAAATAGATAGTAAAAAAGAATAACATTAATTAGTTAATCAGTAATCAAACAATTGTTGACCACAATGTAGAAAACGGAACAAAAACAAAAGGAATGATAAAGGGATAGGGATCATTATTTCAAGCTCAACAAATATAACTCGTTGCCATTGTGTTTATGTAAAAAGGGAGAGAACCAAAGTTGAATGAAAGTAATTAAATGACCAACAGAAGGTTAGGTAGTTAGAGATAGCCTACATTGCTACAAGACTTACAAATTTTAAATTTAACAGTTGTTTTGTTTTTAACAAAATGCCATTAAACAGCTCCAAGTTTATGTCAATTAGAGTGAACGTTGATAACAGTTGATAATTGAGTTATTAAATGGGAATAAACTTGTCAAATGAAGCTGGAATTAAAAAGAAAAACAAATGTAAATTCAAAAATAGAGAGACAGAAAATAAGAGATGAAAATGGAGAACCAGTAAAAATAAACATTACAAAGCATGTAGATTTAGTTAATTTTTTGTTGTGGGTCCATTAACATTAACCATTACAGGATAAGGGTTAAGGTTAAAAACAAATGAACAAATGAAACTAGAGTTAGCCTCCGTAATGAGGTTAATGAGTTTTTCATCTCTTATACTCTTAGATGGTTCAATAAGACATCAGCTTACGTATATGACTTGTCTTCGACAGTGATGACGACCAGAAATTGGACCGCCTTCGCAGATATCGCGGCTAATGTAACCAACCAGATGACTGACCAGTTTAAGATTGTACCACTCGAAGGAATAACTGGTTGGAGAAAGTGTTCCAAGTGTCCAGGGGCTTTGGTATTTGTTATGGCCAATGAAAAGGGACGGAAAATGATAGGAGCTTCATCAAAATCATTTACATTTAAATCCATCAAAAAACCAGCACCAGTTTCTTCCACAGTGACCCAAGCACCAATACCAACATCACCACCAGTAACACCAATGCCAACGACTACAGAATCAATCATAGATGAAAAACAGGAGGACTGACGAGGCTTTATAAAAAAGATTGAAAACAAATGAGAAAATAAATTAACCTGTTGATAAAATCACAACAAAAACAAGGAAAAGACAAGACATTCAATACAAACCATTAGATTTTAACATTAACATTTAGCCACCATAGAAAGAATGTAAAAGCTTAATAACTTGATAAAAACTGTCATAAATCAGTATTTTTAAAAATTAGTAATTAAGAGTTTACTTAAAGGTAATGGTGAGGCACAGAAGATTAAACGGGTTTAAATTTTAACGGTTTTTGTTACTCCTTTGTTTTCAGTCTCTTGTTAAACTCTCGACCAATCAGTATCTCTCAATGGTGAAGTTGGCTTTAAAGCACATTGACTTTTAATGGATACCGACGAACCTGTCAAATGGAATGAACTGTTAACCTTATTTTTATACATAATTTTTTTTTCGTTTTCAATTGAATCCTTAACAGTACCTTTTAATACTTTCTTGTTTCTTACCAATTCTATTCTGTAAGCCAGCAATTGATAAAATATTTTTTTAATAAACTTACACTTATCTCCAAAATTTTGCCTCTTATCCATCATATACAGCATAGAAAATAAAGTTGTACCATGTTTTTGGTATCTTTGCACATTAAAAGCAACTTTAATTCAAAAATACAGTCGTCCATTAAAGATTATGAAAGGTATCACAATCAAATTGACCAATATTATCAGTAATCTAAGATTTTTTCCTCTCTAACACTCATTATTTTGTGATAATACGTCTTACGTTACGTGATAATACAACAAATAATAATAATGAATAGACTCCTAAGTCAGTCGATTGAGTCGCTCAGTCAGTGGATGAAGATTCAACTGAGCGCCCGTTGACTGAGCTAATTTGAGTCGACTAACAAGTCGATTCATTTGACTCAAAATTTGAGTTTAAGCACCAGCCCCGCCATTTATTCAACACGTTTTTTCAAATATGTTTTAGATATGACAACTATGATTATATAACGATGTTCTGAAATAATATTAATAAAAAAAGCAATTATTAATATATTAGCTTTAAAGATCATTTCAAGGCAGAAGATTGATTATGTTTTTTGTTTCTAGATCGTCTCTTAAAAACCCCCTCTTACCCCCTCAAAAATTGTGCTTTGAGTCGAAATGAGTCGACGCCGGTCGTTTTGAGTGAAAGTCAACTGATTCGACTTGAGTCGACCGCCAGGCGATAAAACCCCCAGTCAGTCAGGCGTTGGAAAAACGACTGACTTCGGAGTCAAATAATAAATGTACCAGATAAACATAACGTTATTTTTATTTTGTAAATTTAACATATGTTTGACTGACAATACCATCTAGTGACTATATTGTTGATCATTTTACTCGTTCCAAATATAAATTTCTTTTCTAAAATAGTAATTCAAATCATTACAGAGCATCGAATCGTCTCGTAAACGATATTGTATATTACAATGTAAAGACATGCTGAAGATTTCATCACTCAATTTTCAATTTTGGAATGTCAATAACCAATAAGCAAAAGAATGGTTGAGCTTATAAGATGGATTTTCTTTAAAATAAATTAAATTAACAAAACTTTAAATTTATTTCGACAAGTTCTGGAGATGCTCAATATGATTGAGTTTCGATCTATCATTTCTTGTTATTGTGCTCTTATTTTGCACAAATTCAACTAGTTTAGTTTATCCATCCAAACTGTTCAGTAAATTAACGACCAATTGTTTAGCTAGTAAGAATTGCAGTTTCGGTACTATTCGGTTGGTTTATTTCAATACCGAACAACTCGACTTTACATTGTATTGAAAAAAGCGGGCTACAGAAGTCCCTCGTTTGGTCTCCAAGTGATGAGAGATTATAATAAAATCCGGCAAAAATATCAAGTTGATATTATCAACTGTTCTCTGTTGTGTATTACTCTTTAATTTGCTGTTACTTTCATAATTTTGTTTTTAAAACTAAATTAGTTCGCTTTCATCGATCTCAATGGCCACTAACCCACCTTTAGCTATTTCTCAACTCTTACCATTAGGTATGATATATATCATTATGTTATCTTTTAAGCGTTTATTAGTCCATCTCTTGACCAATGTTCTCTTTTTTTATCCTACAGAATTGATTGACAAATGTATTGGATCTAAGATACATGTTATTATGAAGAACGAGAAAGAGATTGTTGGAACTTTGCTCGGATTTGATGATTATGTCAGTAAGTATTTTGAGGTGCATCAAATTTTCAATGCATATTATTATAAATATTTATTTCTTTCCCAAAATAATCAAGATATGGTCCTTGAAGACGTCACTGAATTTGAAAACACCAATGAAGGAAGACGTGTTAACAAACTGGACATGATATTACTTAATGGGAATAACATTGCGATGGTAAGTCTACTTTTCGTTGTTTTTTTCTGTATAAAACTAGTTCTCATTCTTTCTTATCTTTCTAGATGGTTCCTGGAGGTGATGGTCCTATGCCAGAATATTCAACATGAAAATCTTTCTCATTCCTCATCAAACATTTGGTTTTATAATAAATACGTATTTTCAAGATATACAATAAATGTTCCTTTGATGTTTAAACATAGTGCATTCACATGTTTGTATACTAGTTTCAAACAAGCATAAAAGATGGCATTCCATGTTAACCGGTTAAATTCAGGATACAGTTATACTTGTTACCAGAAAGTAATGCTGACCAAAAGTGGATTGTGATGAAATAATTGAAATTATTTATTAGAATTGAACTGATTTAGAGCATTTCAAAATCTGAAATTTGAAATATTCAGTATTTAGATGAATATTTGTCAAGAAAACCAAGGATAATTGATTGTACGCAAGTGTCAGTTAAATATCAATGGAGACCGCGCCATTAGACAGTCAACTCAAGATGTTAAGATCGATGATTTTTGGCTCGATTCTGAAATCGAGCTACTCGATCTTTTCCTATCATCACAATCAACTGTTATGAATTTTCCCCATTATTTTTATCGTAAATATTTTCAATCCATCAATGACTTCCTTATGTGATATCTAATAATTTTGATAATTAACTCTCTTATTAAATCTTCATTTTGGTGGCATCATATTACCATAAGAAACATCCAATCCAATCTCTTTTTACAGTGTTTCCCTCGAGTTGTTTATAAGTTTACCAAATGATTTGCATGCTTTCGTATCTATTTCCATATATCTTTTGAATCTTTCCATCTAAATTTTGATCGTTCAACTACAATTTAAATTTTCAACCATCGAGGCTTCATAGATGCCTAAAAAATCGACCAATTTTACTGTGTATTAAAATAATCAACTGCCAGATCAACCCGATTTCATGGTTTATCGTTTTAAATTGACTACCTCATAGCTGCTGTTCTATAGACGGTTTTTTATCTGACTCTCTTCACATTCAAGCAATCAGGAGAGGATTACGCAAGTTTACGTAAAGTAAACTAGCTTCCTTGGAACGGAAAATTCCTGGCTTCTTGATCGTACCATTTTAATGTCAGCTTAATTTCATTACCAACTCGTCTTCATGTCCGAAAGGGTGGAAAATTATGATATTCCCAGCTCTGCTAGCTCAGATGGGTATGATAACATTACGTGATGGATAATTATCCTGATTCCGGCTGATTATCCTTTTAACCCTCCACTATTCTTTTCTCATGAAACTATCTCAATATTACCGTATTGACGCGTATCGTAGCACCGGGCTTAATAATGAGAATGTTACTCTTAAAGGCACAATTTTGTGACAATAGAGGCACCTCTGAATAATAAGCAATGCTTTTTCGCGCATTTGCAGTGGCTCAAAAGGCGCTTATATGATGGCGTACTTTTTTATAAGCACGGCGCCACGATACGCGTCAATACGGTAATAGACAATCAATTCCATCAACCTTAATCTTCCTGCCCTCATTTATTACGTAATTCATCTCTTAGCATGTTCATCTCATCTCAATATCTTTACTAATGATCACTATCATCGCCCTTCCAATGAGTGCATCGAAAAAAATCAACTAGCTTGACTAGTTTGAAAGAAATCGTCTTAATTTCATTTCATCATCACATCAAAAAATTTTAGTTTCAACTTGCACTGAAATCATTCTTCCTTTCCTCAGCTATCTTTCATGAAATCATTGAGTATACTGAACTCTAACCACAGTTTAATTATAACACTTTTCAAGCTTTCCTTATCTATTTTTTCTCTCACGTTTCGGTATTTTCTGTCAATCTTTACTATTTGAGATTCTTAAATCTTGTGATTTCCACTATCAAATCTCCTTTCTATCGTTCAAAAAACGTGTTTGCATGAATGAGAATCGATTCATCTATTTATATAAATCAGCGATCTCAGACATCACGAATTCAACGAATCAAAAAGTGTCTTTCTTTAACCATACCATGGTGATTCATCAGTACAATCAAAGCTGTGTTACAAATTTTGAGTCAACGCAATTTGCAGCTGAAGTGATTGCTTTATAGCCAATTTAATCATTTTTTTTATTCCCAAGATTGCTATCATTGTAGTTTTCATGAATTTTAATCGAGGTTAGATTGACTTGAATTTTCATTATCTTGGTATTCTTTCCTTCGGTGCTTTAAAATTTCTTGGTCTTATCTAATTAACATATTTTAATGTTCAGACTCTCGTCATCTGATATTCTCCTCCCTCTTTCTCCCTTGCTTATTCATCAACCCTTTCAGCATTCTTCATAAAACAACAGTTTGTGGAACCAGCAGTTTGTGATCAATATCGAAACATTTGTTTTCCTGTTGCCATCTAATTCTCAGTATTGATAATTCATTTGCCAGTATTGAATCAATTCGTTTTACAATTTGTTTCTTGTTCAGTTCTTTGTTTTTATTATTTGCTTTATACAATCACCATCCATTAACATGGGAATCGTTGATGTGATTCACAGGTTATTAAATTATTTCATCATTCACCTTGTCTACTCATCATCATTAGCTTAATCATCATGATTTCTCCTTTTTCCCGTTTACTCAACACTAACCTCAACCTTTTCCATCATTCCATGTATCTTAAGCCTTGACCCTTTCTTTACCGTCTATTTTTTCAGCTTGATATTTGTTGATTAACTGTATACTAAGTGATTCTTTTTTTTCTTGTCATTTACAGAGGGAGTGCTGAAGATTTATCCTTTTCTTTGAATAGAGTTTTTGACTTCGAAGAAAATGATTTGAAACAAGGAGATGTTGATAATCTTACCCAACATATTAAGGAAATCAATGGAGATACCAACAGAGATCAGCAACAACAATTACAACTACAACAAAACCAACACACATGGGAATCATTCAAGTCAAACAAGGGATCAACTACTGGTCGACCTAGCCGTAATAGAGACTGGTCCATATCGAAAACGACTATTTTAGCGACAAAATCTCATACAATTTTGAGATCAGGACAGCGTACTATATACACTTCTGGTCGACCGCCTTGGTATGATGTACAGGGACAACTAGTTGAACCAATAATTATTGGTAAGTTTTGTTAATCTTAAAATAAAATTCAACGTGTTTAGTGGTAAGCTTCAATTGAGCATGTATGGCACAAGTTTCCATATGAGAATCACATGATAAACCTTTGCTTTCTTAAATTTTCTTTCCGTTTCCTTAGGTATTTGTGGAGGAAGTGCTTCAGGAAAAACCACAGTAGCACGAAAGATAATCGAAACACTTGATGTGCCTTGGGTTACCTTGTTAAGCATGGATTCATTTTATAAAGTAATGATGAGATCATTGATTATCTGTTGAGATATAAAGTGCATAAGAAGACAATTTTATTTAGATATACGAGAACTATTTAACGAGTTTCTTCAGATTGCGCTATTGAACCATATTTATACTGATACATTTGTTTCTCTTTTTGACTTCACTTGTTTTCATCAAATATTATCTTAACAACAAATTGGTAAATTGAAGGTTTTAACTCCAGACGAAAGTAAACTTGCTCGATCCAATGAGTTTAACTTTGACTCTCCGGATGCTTTTGATTTTGATCTTTTGATCGAAACACTGGCTGGACTAAAAGAAGGCAAACGTGTTGATGTTCCTATTTACAACTTTGTGACTCATTCGAGAGAAAAAAGATCCGTAAGTTGAAACAGAATAATATCTTAAGTTCATAATTGGCTAAACTTTTTTCTTTTTCTTTCCCTTAGCGTGCCACTTATGGAGCTAACGTTATTATCGTAGAGGGTATCCTAATATTTTATCATAAAAAACTTCTTGATATGATGGACATGAAAGTGTTTATTGACACTGAGGCTGAAGTTAGGTTAGCTAGACGACTTAAAAGAGACATTGCTGAACGTGGCCGTGATTTAGAAGGAGTAATGAAACAATATAATACATTCGTTAAGCCTTCTTTTGAAAATTTTATTGCACCAACTGTGATACATGCTGATATAATTGTACCTAGAGGAGGTGAAAATCAGATTGGCATCAATTTGATTGTACAACATATTCATAAACAGTTACAATCGAGAGGTGCTCAACTAAGGTAATATCTTCATACCATTTTACCTTTTAATCTAAATGTTTTATCGAATTGAATTTAACCTATGATTTTATTTTTTTCAACAGACCTAAACTATTGAAAAGCCATTTGAATCAACCATTGCCAACAACGTTAAAAGTTTTATCTATGACTCCTCAAATAAAAGGAATACACACATTCATTAGGAACCGGGAAACATCTCGCGATGAATTTATTTTTTACTCGAAGAGACTGATGAGATTATTGATTGAATTTTCCCTCTCTCAATTACCATTCAATGTAATTATGATTTGATATATACACTAATCGATCTGTGTATTATATATAATGATATTAATATGTATCATAATCTTAAAATCCTGATGCATGTCCAATTCATGAATCTTAAAACGTGTTTTCATTACTACCATTTCAAATCAAATTTAATCATATTTTTTCTGTTCATTTTGTTTCAGGATGTAACTGTTGAAACACCTCAAGGAGTTGGATATTATGGTAAACGAGCTGATGGCAAAAAAATTTGTGGCGTCTCAATTTTAAGAGCTGGTGAAACTATGGAACAAGCTTTAAAAGATGTTGTCAAAGATGCTAGACTAGGAAAAATATGTATTCAAACAAATAATGTCACCAATGAACCAGAGGTAAATCAAGAAAACCTTTGCAAGTTTTCGAGTTTAAATCATTCAGTCAGCAACAATTAGATAAAACACTAAGATTTTCTAGGTTAACTAAATTTGAACAATGATTTTGAACTCTTTTGATCGTTGCATTTTTTAATTTATTAATTCTTATTTATCTTCTGTTCCAATAGCTTTATTACCTTAGATTACCAAAAGATATCAAGGATTATCGTATTATGGTCATGGATGCGACTGTCGCTACTGGTGCAGCAGCAATGATGGCGATAAGAGTTCTTTTAGATCATGATGTACCAGAAGAAAACATTATGTTATGTTCATTGTTGATGGCTGAATCTGGTGTACATTCAATTGCTTATGCATTTCCCAAAGTTGTTATTATAACAACGGAAGTAGATGCTGAAGTTAATGAAAGTTTTTATATTGTACCAGGAATCGGCAACTTTGGGGACCGATTTTTCGGAACAGAATCGCTGAGCTGAAGATCCCATCAACTGGGACTCGGTTAATCAAATTTCATTTACATTCACTCATTCTTTGATTTCTCTTAAGCCTTTCTTTTGTAATTCTTTTTACTCTTATTGTTTGTCTTTTCTTCCATTCTATCATTCATTACCTTTCCTGAGAAATGTATTTAGTTGCAACATTTAACTGAGTAAACGCTAGTAAAATAAGAAAAAAGCTTACAGCAAAGAAAAGCTTGTTAAGAACTGGATAGCGTGTTAAACTTGAAACAGTAAAATGTTCTAAATTATGTCAACTTTCTCACATTAACTTTTTACCTTCTTTCTACTTTTAATAACTCAATGATAATCTGCTGGTGATAAATTGAATAACAAAAGATCTTTACTAACATAAAAGATATTGAAGATGATTCCTAAGCCTTTGAGATGTAGACAGCTTGAGCCAAAAATAGATATTATTTGTCATCAAGAAGTGAATCTTTAATAATTTTAAGCACTCCTTTGGGTCTGTAAGAGATATGGAAGAAAAAATTGTTAAATGTCAGCCTTTGGTTCAAAGCTTTTTGTACCTTTTTCATGCATAAGAATCTGAAATTATCTTTTCAGCGATAGTCGAGATTTTGAAGATAGAGAGAAATATAGCGTATATTTGATGAGTGATTGGACTCGAGACATCATGGCAACTACATGCATCTTTCCTCTGGTTAACTCCTCTGGAGATCTAACAAGTTAAAATTGAAAACGAAAAAAATAGATAGTAAAAAAGAATAACATTAATTAGTTAATCAGTAAAACTTGATAAAAACTGTCAGTGTAGTCAGATCAGTGTTTTTAAAAATTAGTAATCAAGAGTTTACTTAACGGTAATGGTGAGGCACAAAAGATAAACGGGTTTAAATTTTAACGGTTTTTGTTACTCCTTTGTTCGACCAATCAGTAACTCTTAATGATGAAGTTGACTTTAAAGCACATTGACTTTTAATTGATACCGATGAACCTGCAGAGGATTAGTATGAATCATACAAAGGTTCGGGTGAAGAAACAACCATTTAAATGTGTGAATAATATTCAAAATTTTATATTTTGATCGTTTATCTCGTTTAATAACATTATTTTTGAGATCAGATAGGTTTTTAAATAAACGTATTGTGACACTTTCAGAACCAAACTATAGCCAAAACTTAAAGGATCAAGAGCCATGGTTAGATCTGTTGAACAAGTTCTGGAGATGCTCACGAATAAGATTCGGTCTATCATTTTGTGTTAAGGTGCTCTTATTTTTGACAGATTCAACTAGTTTATCCGTCTGAACTGTTCAGAGTATCAACGATCAATTGTTTAACGATTAAGAATTGCATTTTCGGTACGATTTGGTTGGTAATTTATTACAATGCCGAACAATTCTAGTAGAGTTACTCTACATTGTATTGAAAAAAGCGGGCTACAGAAGTCCTCTGTAATAGGCATGCGTGGAATTGTCTCCATGTGACTTAATTCCGGCAAAATTTATTCAACTGTTCTCTGTTGTTGTATTACTCTGCAAATTGAAGTTACTTTCATAATTTTGTTTTTACGACTAAATTAGTTCGCTTTCATCGATCTCAATGGCCTCTAACCCACCTTTAGCTATTTCTCAACTCTTACCATTAGGTATGATATATATCATTATGTTATCTTTTAAGCGTTTATTAGTCCATCTCTTGACCAATGTTCTCTTTTTTATCCTACAGAATTGATTGACAAATGTATTGGGTCTAAGATACATGTTATTATGAAGAACGAGAAAGAGATTGTTGGAACTTTGCTCGGATTTGATGATTATGTCAGTAAGTATTTTGAGGTGCATCAAATTTTCAATGCATATTATTATAATTATTTATTTCTTTCTCAAAATAATCAAGATATGGTCCTTGAGGATGTCACTGAATTTGAAAACACCAATGAAGGAAGACGTGTTAACAAACTGGACATGATATTACTTAATGGGAATAACATTGCAATGGTAAGTCTACTTGTTGTTGTTTTTTTCTGTATAAAACTAGTTCTCATTATTTCTTATCTTTCTAGATGGTTCCTGGAGGTGATGGTCCTATGCCAGAATATTCAACATGAAAATCTTTCTCATCCTTCATCAAATATTTGTCCCAAAGAGCATAGCAAGAGATATTCCGCCTTGTTAGTTATCTTGTCGAGATCAGGATAGAGAAAAAGGAGCAGAACGCGATGGTACACTAAAAATTCTTATCTTTTCTTTTTTGCACTTCTTTTCATCAAATATTTGTTTACATTTATCATTTTTTCGTCTCTTCACTTTTCTTCTTCTCGCTACTATCTCCCTCTCCTCCTGCTCCTTCCAACTTATCACTCTTATTCATAGTTCTCACTCGCGTGCTCTAGGGATGTGCGGTTTCCGATTTAACCGACAACGATTTTTTCGATCAATTTCCGCAGAAATCGATCCATTTGCGATTTTTAAAAAGACAATATCAGAAAAAATTGCCAAAAAACACATTCTTTATTTTTCAAAACAAAAAAGTATTATCAGATCTACAAAATTGTCTTATGCTTAAAAGCACATTTTAAAGAGATAATTTTATCTGGGTTGTGATCGATCAATTTATGTCAGAAATCGGATCTTAACATCACTAGCGTGCTCTCTCGCTGTTACTCTGTAAGATTTACAATAAATGTTTTGTTGTTTACTTTATACACATGTTTTTTTATAGTTGCAAACAATTATAAAAGATGGCATTCCATGTTTTCAAACTTAAACCGGTTAGTAGCCGGCGGTCACCACTTGTTGCCAGAAAGTAATAAAGACCAAAAGCGGACTGTGATGAAATAATTGAAATCAGCCATTTAAAGTTTTGTATTTTCCGTTGATAAGTTAGAAAATTGTGATAAAATGTTCAAATGTGATAGAAATTTCGAAAATTCATCTGAAATTTGAAACATTAAGTATTTAGTTAAGTCTTTGTCGAAAAAAACTAATGATAATTTATTGTAAGCAAGTGTCAGTTAAATATCAATGGATACAATTTTGAGATCAGGACAGCGTACTATATACACTTCTGGTCGACCGCCGTGGTATGATGTACAGGGACAACTAGTTGAGCCCATAATTATTGGTAAGTTTTATTAATCTTAAAATTAAATTGACTTGTTTAATGATCTTGAATTGAGCATGCATAACAAAAGTTTCCATATGAGAATCACATGATAAACCTCTTTTTTCCTTCCTCTTCCTAGGTATCTGTGGAGGAAGTGCTTCAGGAAAAACCACAGTAGCACGAAAGATAATCGAAACACTCGATGTGCCTTGGGTTACATTGTTAAGCATGGATTCATTTTATAAGGTAATGATGAGATCATTGATTATCTATTGAGATATAAAGTGCATATTTTTTTAGATATACGAGAACTATTTAACGAGTTTCTTCAGATTGCGCTATTGAACCATATTTATACTGATGCATTTGTTTCTCTTTTTGACTTCACCTGTTTTCATCAAATATTATCTTATCAACAAATTGGTAAATTGAAGGTTTTAACTCCAGACGAAAGTAAACTTGCTCGATCCAATGAGTTTAACTTTGACTCTCCGGATGCTTTTGATTTTGATCTTTTGATCGAAACACTGGCTGGACTAAAAGAAGGCAAACGTGTTGATGTTCCTATTTACAACTTTGTGACTCATTCGAGAGAAAAAAGATCCGTAAGTTGAAACAGAATAACTTCTTGAATTGATAATTTGGCTAAACTTTTTTCTTTTTCTTTCCCTTAGCGTGCCACTTATGGAGCTAACGTTATTATCGTAGAGGGTATCCTAATATTTTATCATAAAAAACTTCTTGATTTGATGGATATGAAAGTGTTTATTGACACTGATTCTGAAGTTAGGTTAGCTAGACGACTTAAAAGAGACATTGCTGAACGTGGCCGTGATTTGGAAGGAGTAATGAAACAATATAATACATTCGTTAAGCCTTCTTTTGAAAATTTTATTGCACCAACTGTGATACATGCTGATATAATTGTACCTAGAGGAGGTGAAAATCAAATTGGCATCAATTTGATTGTACAACATATTCATAAGCGATTGCAATCAAGAGGAGCTAAACTGAGGTAATATCTTCATCACCATTTTACCTTTTAGTTTTAATCTTTACAGCGGAGTACAAGATTCTGTCAGTTACTGGAAATATCTGATAGCTGATGTGCTCAGCGCGTCCATTCACAAATACTAAATTAATACACAAAATTTACATCAATTGCTGTCACTGTGCATCTTTGCTTAAGTTGAACTTTCAGAAATATTCCATTTTGTTGATAATATCTTTATAATATCACTTAAAACTTTCCTTATTGGACATTTAAACAATTGGTTTGAGTGGGCTATTGTAAGATCTACTGACAGTGTCTAGTACTCTCCTAATATTGAATAAAATTTAACCGATGATTTTATTTCTTTTCAACAGACCCAAACTATTGAAAAGCCATTTGAATCAACCATTGCCAAAAACATTAAAAGTTTTATCTATGACACCTCAAATAAAAGGAATGCACACATGCATTAGGAACCGTGAAACATCTCGCGATGAATTCATTTTTTACTCGAAGAGACTGATGAGATTATTGATTGAATTTGCCCTCTCTCAATTACCATTCAAAGTAATTATGGTTTTCTATTATACACACTAATTTCTTAAACAGTATTTTTATTACTACCATTTCGAATCAAACTTAATCATATTTTTCTGTAACTTTATCTCAGGATGTAACTGTTGAAACACCTCAAGGAGTTAGATATTATGGTAAACGAGCTGATGGCAAAAAAATTTGTGGCGTCTCTATTTTAAGAGCTGGTGAAACTATGGAACAAGCTTTAAAAGATGTTGTCAAAGATGCTAGACTAGGAAAAATATGTATTCAAACAAATAGTGTCACCAATGAACCAGAGGTAAATTGAGAAAACCCTTTCAAGTTTTCGAATTCTATCACCAGTCAGAACACCGAGAATCTCTAGGTTAACTAGATTCAAATAATGGTGTTAAGATCTTTTGAGCATTGAATTTTCCATTGATTAATTCTTATTTATCTTCTGTTCCAATAGCTTTATTACCTTAGATTACCAAAAGATATCAAGGATTATCGTATTATGGTTATGGATGCGACTGTCGCTACTGGTGCAGCAGCAATGATGGCGATAAGAGTTCTTTTAGATCACGATGTACCAGAGGAAAACATTATGTTATGTTCATTGTTGATGGCTGAATCTGGTGTACATTCAATTGCTTATGCATTTCCCAAAGTTGTTATCATAACAACGGAAGTAGATCCTGAAGTCAATGAAAATTTTTATATTGTACCAGGAATCGGCAACTTTGGGGACCGATTTTTCGGAACAGAATCGCTGAGCTGAAGATCCCATCAACTGGAATTTAGTTAATCAATTCTCATTTACATTCACTCATTCTTTGATTTCTCTTAAGTCTTTCTTCTAAATTTTTTTCTTATATATATTGTTTGGCTTCGCCTCCATTCCAACATGCATCAACTTTCTTTTTCCCGAGAAATGTATTCTATGTACATTAATTAAAGCTCAAAAATATACGTATCAAACTTATTGTACAAAATTTAATTCTAATATCTTATTGAAGGTGAATGATTCAACACTTGTTAGTTGTCAAATTTACTTTTGTTGAATCGATGGCCTTTAATGTGTAGTACATGTGAAGTTTTTCATCAACTTACAATTTTTGGATAACAAGCCTTGTTTTAAAACAGGTCACATTAAAGGTTGGCCATGATATGAAAGTTGGTATGAAAACAAAGTACAGGTATAAAACAAATGAGAAGAGAAAAATGATTCAAGTTTTAGGTCTTGGTTTTAACTCTTCAAAACATGGATGGAGGAATATATGATTCTTTTTCTGTGGACTGTAAAACTCATGTCCTTTAGACCAATCATAGCTGACTGCATAGGCAAACAACTCCCCTTTGGCACTAAAACAGCATCTAGTAATTGGTTGTTCCAATTGTTCAGATGTTTTCAATTTGGTTCGTGCATCTTTATCCCAGAAAGAGAACTTTCCATCAGACCCGACAGTTGCCAAGGTACCATGTTGGGGATGGAATGCAATATCATTTACTGCAAAAATATCTTGAAAGCCATTTGGAGTTCCATTTGAACGATGACATTTAAAAGTAAAGTTATCTTTAGGATTAGTTGGAGACACATATTGTATTGCTACTCGACCCTCAACACTACCCAAAGCAAAGCCAGAAGGAGCTTGCTTTTTGTCCAGAAATATGGATAAACATCGATTTTGATATTTGAGTGGTGATTCGATTCTTTTAAATTCAGAGGGCTGATTTTCCAACTGGTAAACAATAATACCACGACCAGCAATTCCAACAACAGCCATTGGATAGATTACATCTGCACAATAAACTCTTTCAGTAAGAGGAATGCTTGCCATAGGTTGAGGACTTCTAGTATCCCAAAACTGCAAAGGAAATTACATTAGATAATTGAAAAATTAGAAAATAAATAAAATACCTTCAATGTTTTATCCCAACTACCACTCATAACACATTGATAATTAGGTGCTTTGATCCAATGAACTGTTTTGACAGCATCGTCATGCTGAGCTATTTGAATAGATTGATTACTATTGAGATCCCACATTTTTACAGTTTTATCGCAGGAAGCAGAAAAAACACGGGTGCCATCCTAAAATGTAAAAATTATACCGTTAATGAGTTAATGAAACCAATTTCAATGCATGGAAGATAGTTTTGAAAAAATATATTCTTACATCGCTCCAAGCAACATCCAATACAGGTCCTTGGTGTGATTGTTGAGCTTTAGCAATTGACTGCCACCCTTGCTGAACTTGTTGTATTTCCCAGCAACGAATTTGGTTATCCCAGCTACCAGAAATTAAATAGTTTTGAGGCAAGGCAGGAGGGCTGAATTCCAAAGCAGCGATAGAGTCATCAGGACTATTGGCAACTTCAAAGTCCTTCATTGGATTATGATTTTGAATAAGATTTGATGATCCGAAACCACCGAATGTTGGTTGACTTGATGGGCTACCAAACAACGATGTAGGTGCAGCACCAAAACCACCAAAACCACTCATAATTCAAAAACAGATACAAAACAAAAAAGTAGAAAAAATTTTCTTTAATAAGAACAGACCACCATGAATGCCACTAGTGGTGAGTTTCAATCATAAACAGTGAAAAAGAAAAAGAAAACATCACTGCCCTCTGTTATGTAAAGAAAAAAGCGGTTATATTTGAAAGTAAAGCTTCTTTTTTTATCAGCTTTCTTTTTATTGCCTTTGATTCTTAACATTATAACATTTCTTCGTTACATTATAAGCCTGAATTTGGTTTTTTGAAGCTTCCCTAGCATTTATTTTTACATCTTAGTAGCTTTTGAATGAGTTTTTTGAAAATTCAAGTTGAATTTTGAAATGGTGAGAGGTCAGGTTATCAAAGTATGAAACGATATTTACAAAAACTCTTTTTTTATTTCAAATATTGAAACTCTCATTGATTGATCAACTTTATCATTGATCATATGATTTTGCATTAGGTTTAAAAGTTGGTTGGTGGAAAAATTTGAAAATTCACCTCCTCTGATGACTAGACCACGGTTGCATGAAATTATAATTCGGCTGGATGGAGTAACCGTTGCAGTGTCTTGAAGAAATTGATTCAGTTGAGTGTCTAGAAAATCAGTCAGATTAACCAATCCTTGGTCAGTTGATTTATTGAGGATCACTTCGATAATAACAGCTAGAGAGTCTATAAGTTGATTTGCGTCAGGTGAGAGGATATGCCGATTCTCATTCGAATCGACGTTTTTCTGTGACCGAAAGAGTTAGAGAGCTGAAACTTATAAATTGTCCATAAAAGTTGTGAATCCATATTATGGATTAAATGCTTTAAACAATTTAACAACAGTTCTCTTGATTTTGATCATTGGCCTAAAAACTTTGAACTTCAATATTTCGAGAATGGCATAACATACAAACATCATTCTTTTACACAACATTCGATTTCATCATGGTTTATTACAGTATATGAGTGAATATCAGATAAAATCTAGGCTTATTTAATCATAATAAAGATGAGCTTCTAACGCATAAGATTTGTGTTTAGCTTTATGATCAAATCTCAAATCTGTAAACTCCAGTAATACAACGGTATAACTTTTTTTGTAGGATCTTGAACGGTGCAATATTGCAATACATTATAGCCCATAACGAAATGTAACGTTTGGCCAAGAGAGATGATTGTAGATGATATCGTTACCGAAATACTGAGGCTCAAAGTCTTTAGGCCAATAGCCAAAATTAAGAGAACTGTTGATAAATTGAAAAAAATGATCAGCCATTGATCTGCACCAACAATATTTACACACGCATAATAAGTTTCAGTTTTCTGACTCTTACAGTTACAGAAAGCGATCGGTTTAGCTGAAAATGGAACTTGATCTGTTTTAGAGAAACGGGAAATGTTATTTCTCAAAATAATACCATTTTCTTGTCGATTAGCAAAAGTTTCTTCAGTAAAATAAGTTCTATGAGACAATCTGCTTCCATAGCTGAGCATAAGGCGATCGAAGCTTCAACTTTGACCTCGATTTCCTCAAAAACTGTCCATCGGATGAATTATTTGATAGTACCACTGGACTCAGTTTTTATGCGTCTACAAACCTAACAAGCCTCAAGTTTTGAATCAAAAGTTTGAGCCTTTGACAACAATCTTTGCATTTCATTTGCAAGTTTAACCAGAAAATTGGTTTATTTAGCAAGAAATGGGTTTAGATGAGTTTGTTTTGTTTAACAAGCTGTTTCTCGATCATAACCAACCCAAAAATCATAGTCGGAACGTACTAAAGGAAAATTACCGTAGTGGATTGTATTATTAATTACCAAAGAATCAAATTGGTGAAAGAATGATGTTTGTATGTTATGCCATTCTCGAAATATTGAAGTTCAAAGTTTTTAGGCCAATGATCAAAATCAAGAGAACTGTTGTTAAATTGTTTAAAGCATTTAATCCATAATATGGATTCACAACTTTTATGGACAATTTATAAGTTTCAGCTCTCTAACTCTTTCGGTTACAGAAAAACGTCGGTTTGAATGAGAATCGAACTTGTCTGTTTTGCAGAAAAAGAAAAGGTTTATTTCTCAAAATGAGTAGAATTTCTGATTGACAAACAAAAGTTTCGTTAATAAAATGAGTTTCATGAAACAATCTGCTTTCATAGCTGAGCAAAAGGCGATCGAAACTAAAAATTTGACCTCGATTTTCTCGAAAACTGTTCATCAGGTAAATTTTCTAATCACACAAATGGACTCAGTCCTTATGTTCCTACAAACCAACAAAGTCTAAAAAGGTAGAAATTTGAAGTAAATTAATTTTCACCCGGTTTTGCCCATTCGTGCCAACCTGATAATGGGATACAATTTTCAAGAAAAAATTCGATCCGTCATTAAAATTGATCGACTTCGCAAATATAATGTGAACTCGTTGATTTTATTAATGCAAAAACATGTGATAAAATTTAAAGCAATATAATAAATATGATACAAAAATAGCAATTGCAGATTTTCATTGATCAATTTCATGAACTTCGTCAAAGTCCTTGTACCAGTTACTTGAATTCTTTCTGAAGTTATCATGTAGTAGTGAACGAATAACCATTGGATCACTTTTAAAGCCAGAAATAAATTCTTCACGACTCAATCGATTATCATGATCCTGTAAACAATCAGAACAAAATAATTGCAGAGAGTTAAATACAATTTTTTGATCACTGAATGACACAATGCAAATGTAATTAGAATTGCAAGCTCAACAATTTTATTCGGCTGACTAGAAACCATGTAATTCGGCTTCTCTTGGTGAATATTACTTATCAATTAGCCTGGAAAAAGTTCACTCTAAAGAGTTTCTTGACGACAAAGTAGCTTCACACCGACATAAAAATGAAAGTTTTCTGCCTTTTGGTATGTAATAAATACTATGAATAATAAGTATGAATAAAGAATCGCTAATCAATTTCTACATTTTGCGATTTACAGTTACTTGGAGTTACTATTCTAGGAAAGCCTTATACTCCGTTGGGTCAGGATATTTTCAGATGAGTATAAACTCAACTTACCAGGTCCATTCGATCGAAAATATCATCAATTCGTTTTTGAGCACCAACTAGCTGCTCTTTGACCATTCCTTTGCTCTCATAAATAGCTTGAATCACACTAAACATTTCCTTTCTTGTTAAGTAACCATCATCGTCAGTGTCATAAATTGAAAATGCCCCTGAAAAGATTAAACGTTAAACAGTAAAACTTAAACAATATTCAAAGTACTAAGGATATCAATATGTTCCGTCACTTTTTTCATTATTAATTCACTTATGGTTTAACCAATCGATTCTGAAAGACCAACTATTATTGACTCTAGAACTGGCCAAAAAGTGACATTTCTTGTAATCATTGACTTAACCCAATAAATCGAATTGCTTTGCAATCAAAACAAGGTTATTGGTAATAAAGCGATAGAACATATTGATATTCTTAATATTGAAACATACAATTAAGTTTCTGATCGATTCCTCCATAGATTGGAATGGCAACAGCTCGGATAAATTCAGGGAAAGTTATTACACCATCCTAATGAATAAAGGTGAAAAGGTACAATAATTATTAGTTGGCGAAATAATTGGTTATGCCATTAGTAAAAATGTAGCTTATTAGTGAACCAATTTGTTTCAATGTTAATTTAATTATTCATTTTACCTGCAAAACAGTCAACAACTACAGAAGGTAAAAAGGTCTTGAGCTGCATATATTGTCATGAAATGAATACGCTTCAAGGCAAGTATAAAGATAACAATGTTGAACAAAAAATGGTAAAATCTTCATTGACTGCATCTCATTTCAGTTAATAAATCAACAGTGGACTCAAAAAAAATGTACAAAAATGATCTAGAACTGATGATGGATATTGAAGACTCTGCTGAAAGCTTATCAACTTCACATTCAATCAACTTCAATGACATTAACATCGTTCATGTTCTGAGTCAAGTACCAAAACCGAGTTAAACTCGTTGACTGAAAAAGTGTTGGTTAGCATCAAGTTGCTCTGAAGTTGCTTAAACATTGGTAAGCATTTAACTTCATCGAATCTTTTAATTGCTCAATCAAATGAAATTAAATCAGTTGGTCGGTCGGTCCTTTGACCTTAAGGATTCTCAGCTTTATTGGATAACTTTGAATCATGATAATTCTGTCACTCGATGAAGAAATGGGAAAGAATGAGAATGCTGGTTAATTTCGTCTCTCTGGTTCATTCCCTGTTCGCTTAAATCTATGAAGGCCAACAATTGTTGAGATATTTTAAAGTTGACATTTCTTCTCTTGAGAATACTGAATCAGCTTTCATTTTCAATTTAAAATTTCAAGCTGAATGAGTAAAGACAGAGATGAATATAAGGCTTGAACAAAAAACACTGTAAACACATTATTGTCAGATGAAGGAAAAATTGAGTTTCACTTGTTGGTGATTGTTGCTGTTTTGATGGGAGAGGCAAGAAGGGGAAGAATAAAAGATTGAACCATTTCTAGTACTTTGATGATGATAGTTATGATAATAGAATTGAAAGTTGAGTGAAACAAAATTAGGAAAGAAAAATAGGAATAAAAGAGAAGAAGAAAAAAAATATTCTCAATAATAATATTATTTACCATGTTATTCATCAGAATTCCAAGATTGTTTCATGAGTTTGTTGTTGTTGTTCATTGAAATATCAAACGGAACAATGTGAATTGAGATTGTGATTCTTACTCAAGGGAATTTGCAAGTTACAATGAAGATGAGGAAGAATAAATAAAAAAAAGGACAAAAAAAGCGAATGAAAATGAAGGAGTAAAAATGAATTTACTGGGAGTTGAAATGTATATTTATATTGATAGGGAGTTGAGAAGGAAAAGAAGAAAAAGTGATGAAAAATAATATCCATTATAATTTGGAACTTTTTCTTTTCCAGGATAAATTCAGTCTTGTCAGGTTGAGTGTAAATTACAAGATGACAAGTTGAGTCTCATTTTTTACATTACATTTTTCATTACAATTAGATTGAGAACAAAAGTTGTTTGCCTTTGGGTTATCAACCTTTTTCATTGCTCTCATTTGCGAACCTGAAATTGATCCATAAAGACACACTTTTTTACGATCAATTATCTGAACATCTAGTCTCTTCCCCTGCAACTTGTAATTTGTGTCACTCTTGTGCACTCGCAATCATTGAAACTCGATAAAATCTCTTGATTTACAATCAAATTTCCATTCATTTGGGACCATCCAGAACTCAGTGAGTGCGATATGTTCAATCCATTCAATTCCCTATCATGGTTGTGCCTTCAGCGCTATTGAAATTTCTCAATTAGTTTTAGCTGTTAGTACTTTGCACAAGGACAACTCTAACGAAAAAGCACCAAAAACCATTGAATGTTCAAAAAGTCTCATCAATTCAGCAACTTTACATCTAGAGTTTGCAACTTGGAGAGCAACCTAGCTTAATATTTAAATTCATCATTGGTTCCACGATATTCGTACATTCGTACCATAGATCAAGAAAATTTCCAGAATCAGTATCCTTTGATGGCACTTGATCAATTCTGATGGAGAGTGACTCTGAAGTAGTGAATCTTATTCAGCTCATAATGAGTATCAATGAACGCTGTTTGAGACAGACCCTTAGCATTGGCTAATAAATGTAAGCCAGAGTCAACTGAGTTAGTGTACTACTGGGTCATCAATCGGGTTGAATTGAGCAAATCTCTTTTTGGTAAATTAAGTTTAAGCTACTCTTAGGTCTAAGTCTTTACAAGTTCTAATGTAATCCAAAATTTCTTTGATCAATAATTTTCGAAAAAATAGTGTTCGATGTAGGCACTTCAATCGAAGTTATTAAACAAGCTTTTTTCATCGAACTAATTATTCTGAATGGACTTTTGATGACCAACATGAAAATGAACTCATTTTAAGAGATTAAATTTTCTGATGTACAACAGGTCACTTCGATTTTGTCAAGAATCAGCTTAATACTAACTTGCCCTTTTGAATATTTCCATAAAAAGACTTACTGAGGTTCATCAGCTAAACTCAACCTAAACCTCAACCAGCTAAATTAAACTTTGATTTTATTTACGACTGAAAGAATAGAGTTTTAACTTTTTGAAATCGGTCGAGAATGTTAGAGTATTTATGCAAGTCATAAATGAAATTGTTCAGCGATAAAATCTTGAAATTGTTTGCTTCTTTTGTCAATTTATGTTTTCTGTTGCAGGTGGAAACACAGAGTGGAAGAAAAAAAAGGTTGAATAAAAAATTATTTTCAAACTAAAAGTAAATCTAAATGATGATATTATTCAGTGGAGCTAAAATTGAACCAGTAAAAGCAACAAAAAGAGCAAGAGAAGAGAGTTGTCACCATTAATGACAGTAAATAGAGACATGGAAAAGATCATCAAAGTGTGATTCAATTTGTTGTTATTCATCTATTGCTGTTCCTTGTTGTTGTTCAACAAATCAATGTGTTTACCAGTTTTGGGTTTCAATCAAACAAACAGAATGTTCAATGTTGAATATAAAAAGAGGCGCAAAGTGAAACATGAAATAGAGTGAAATATTAAAAAATTTTACTTTTACCAACTTTTGTTGTTTGCTGGTTCCAAGCATTATTCAGTGAACAAAGAATGTTGTATTTCATTTCTTTAAATTGCTCACACAATCAAATTTAATTATGTATGATGACATTTTTCTCTGCTTGCCTTTCCTCATCCCGATAACATTCTCAATGATGATGGTGATGATGATGAACATCATCAACTCGATCCACTTTCGACTCAGCACTAATGGTCTTTTGGTATAATATAACCACATTGTATTACAATGATAACAATAACAATGATTATTATAATAATGATATCTCTTCTGATGATGATAATATTCACTCAATTGTCACTACTGATTTCATCATATTATGTTCTGGACCATTATTGCATTCACACCTTTTTTATTATCATTTCCTTGAAACATTATTATAATTACTGGCATCATGTTTGCTGACTGATTCAATGTTTCCACTCTTCTTGAAAACTGTAAATTCACATTTTCTGTCAACACTTTGATTTTCAATTGTTTCACTTGAAATGTTGAATGAGACAATTTTTCTTGCTCAGCATTTCCTCTCATTGAGATGAAGTTGAAAACTATTAGTTTATTTGCGAGCAAAAGATTCTATCATTGAGAATGGATCATGATCTTGAAATGTGCTGATGACGCTTCAAGTGTCTTATTGGTATGCCAAGAATTCTCAGAAATTAAGTCTAGAGTTTCGCAACAAAGTGTTTACTAAATTCAAATTTAGATTTGAACATTTCAAGTCGATGAAAGTGTTGAAAAACAGGAAATAAGTTAAAGTTGAACAAACCTTATTCATGTCGATCTTGCTAAAGATGTAATCTGCCAACTTGACTACACTCAAATTATTTGGTGGGAAATATTCGTGGAATGTTTCGATGAAAATCTCTTCGGTCATATAACCACGCGGACAACTTCGAAGAAACTCCTCGTGCCAAAGTTTCAATTGAGAAATTGGAACTAGAAAAAGAAGGGAAAAATTTCAGTTTATTCTTTGTTTTCAATTCGAAAACTTTGCCATTTATTTTTAACATCACTGATTCAACATCAGCATTTCAACCGCCAGCTGATAAAATAGTATAAAGACAGCACAAGATAAAAGAATTTTGCGGAAATCCGATTCGATTGGTTTCGAGTTTTCAAATCCTTCATTCATTTAACCCCGTATTTACTCACAATGACTTTTTTCGATTTTCAATGAGATTAAATGTATGCAGGTAGACAGTGAAACTCAATCGATACTTTTAATAGTGAAAAGTGTGAGACTTTCATAAAATTATAACTAATCAGAGAGACTGGAAAGAGTAAATAAACACAAAAGTAAACAATTGATACTTACAGGGAGTTTCAGCAGCCAAAGATTTTAGGTTAACTTCGTCAATTTTGGGTTTACACAAAGAAGTACCCATAACGGTTGATTGATCAAATGAGGTAAAGACTGGGACAGTTCATGTTGTGGAATAGATTATCAGATTTTAGGAAAATGTGGAACCAAAAGGTTGAAATGTTGATTATCGTCAATCTAAACTCGGTAACAACAAATGGTTGGATTGAACACAAAATATTGGCCGATGAAATGAGACACAAATAGTTTACTTTTTTAACTTGAATTGTAACTCGTCTAAAGTTTGAACAGCAGATAAGTTAGGTTTCAGTGTTTTCCCTGTGACTCATGATTTAACTGGTTTATTGAAACAAAAGAAGCAGGAAAAACTCTCATGTTATACCCAAGTTAAACTTACAAGTTGAAATGAGTATTGCTCGGCGAAACTATTTAAATGGTTATATGGAATTGATTTTTCATTCTCCCACTCATTCTTTACCATTGCCTTTAATCGATGTTTGATTATTATTATTACTATCATTGCTGTTATCATTATCAATGAATATCTAGTGACACAGGGAGTTAAATAACCCCCAAACTTGTATATTGGTTTAACATGATATCCTGTGTAACCATAGAAACACAACCTTTGCTTTCTTAATGGAAAAATAAAAGTTAAAGAGTAAATATTAAGGGAAAATTCATTTTATCTCAATGAAATACAGAATGTTCAACTGGATAGTCAACAGAAAATCATAACATTTCATGTTGATCAACACATATGAAAGTCTATTTGCTTAGTAACTGTAACTTTTTTTGGTTGATTCAGTTTTACCTCAACTTTCATTCATGCTAGCTTTTCATTTATGCACCTTTTCATTCAGAAAATTTTATCATCAAGGCCATAATTTAATGTTCACGAAGTCATTTTTTTGCTCTTTTTTCTAATTATTCTTTATTTTATATTATTATGAATTGCGGTTATCGTGAATTACCTCTCATTCTGTCTATTGAATACATTAGATGATTCATGATAGTAACGTTTCTGGTATAATATTTTATTATCTATCACACTATCATAGATAATACAATACAACGATTTATTGAGCATAGATCATTTAAAAATGACAAACTGTTGCTTCTTATCCAGTTCGCTTAGTTGCGAAAGGTTTATAACTAGGCTCACTCATCCACCCATATAAAAAATTAGCTATTATATATATCATACAAAATATTTCTTTGAGTTCTTGAACGCTTTAGTGTGAATGAGCATATCGCGAACATATACGCTTTCAAGCTAAGGAGCCTCACAATTGTCAAGTTGTGGCTGGTAATCGCTGTCATTCTCATCCGAAGACTCCGAGGAATCTGTGGATGATAACTCTAAACGCACCAATGGAATAATAAGGGAACGCGATCGGGAGACCTAACGAAGTCTAGGCTGTCCAAGAGGAGAGTCAGGCATCTCTTCTGGGCCAGAGTCACAAGCAGCTCCTGGTAAAACAATAAAAAAGAAAAGAAACAAAGAGGATTAATTATAACATGAGGGCCCAAAGAGACTATAAATATTAGTGAGAGTCCAAACTTACTTGTTGCATTAGGGTCTGTCAATAGATATGTCCAAACCATTATAGTTAGCAAAATAAGAGGAATTGAGAATTATGATAGGAAGATGAGAAGGATGAGAAATAAGACAAAGAGTAAAATAATAATCAAGAGTAAGTGTACTCGTTTGATGTTGAAAATATTGTGACAAAAAGTTGATGTCGATTTTGTGTTTTCATATGATTATTTGCTTGTCTAACGACTAGGGTCAGTCGTTTATCGAGGTTGACCGAATTTAAGATGGAAAGTTTACTTTGTTTATTATTTTTGTTATCATAAATCTTACGCTTGAAAGTTGAGCATGAGAACGAATAATGACCCTGGACATAAAGGACCCTTAGTTTAACCCGAGTAAACAAGTGCACTGTAAACAATTCCAAGAATTTTTTACTCGTTAGCCTTGGGATCTTCATAGTGAGTACGAAAGTCGATATAAAAAGGCGGAAAAAGGAGAACGAAAGGCAGTGTGAAGTTAGAGTAACAAAACTGTATTTGCACCCGTAGTTTAAGTGAAATAAAGAACTCTTATCTGTTTATTTGCCCCTTGTTACTCATTTCTCAGTTCCTCAATTCACTTGGATAAAGCCCCTATCCCTTTCGATACCTCTAATCGGTATTCATCCGATACGATTTTTTCAATAATAATAAAGTGAAAGAAACAGATTTGGCTAGTTTGTTCCCAAATTTCGAGGTTAGTCGTATTTTCAACTATTCTTCGACTATTCTAACTATTTGAACTGATAATAGTTTTTCAGCATTTGTGAACCCCTCCTGCGGAAATTGAAAAGAAAGACACTCTACTGATTTTTGAAAGATGCTCGGAACTTGAAGATTTTGATAAATATAAGCTGGCTTTTCTCTGGAGAAATAATCCATCGCTGCAGAAACCTCGTGATGCTTGCCACTGATTATCTATGCCCAAACTCATCTCCCCTGAAACTGAATTAAGAGACACAAAAAATTGACAATAATAGAGTACTACTTTTAGTGAATAAAAAATCATCTGTGTCGTTCCTCTGTGATCTAGCTAAAAGCTTCTTTCCAACCTGGATGATAAAACCAATTTAGCCGAAAACACCGCTTATGAGATTCTCTCTGTGTCTGGTTGAAAACGAACTAACAACGGACTATATGACCTAAAGTTCTAGTGTACAAAAACAACTGGCTTGCTGACGCGGAAACTGGCATAGTAAAGACGATACGAGTTGTCAAAGAACGTATCACATTCATCTTTAAAAGCAATAATAGAAACCGTCGGGCGCTGCTTCTAAATTATGACTGGATGTACTTCCTCGGGATAACAGCAAAGGCCTATGATCATCTACGATTTTTGCCTGCCACAAGTGTCAAGGGCGGAGAAAGGAGTGAGGAGTGAGTGCGGAGAAATTTTGACAGAAAAATACCAAAACGGTTTTAATAAATAAGAAGATAATTAGTATAACAATCCGAAATTGGAGCTTTAATAGTGGCAATTCAATTCTTGAGGATTGAAAAATTCATTAGTTGTCTAGAAGTTAAAAGTTAATTTTGGGATTCCACCGGAAAAACCAGATCTGATTTAAGGCTTGAGGTGCGAATTAATTAGAATGGTTGTCCAATCAAAGTCCAATGATGTTTAGCCACGTTAAAAGCATATCAAACAATCCTTTATCGATCATCTTCGACGTTCTTAAGGGAATTTAGAGCCAAAGGTCGATAAGGAAGTAATGTAATTTCATGTATTGTTTTGGCAATAGTGGTAAGACAATCAAGTGATTTACTTCTTATCTCAAGGTAGGGTGAAGCTTTTGAAAGCTCTAGAAGACGATTTATGATTCCAGAAATATTTCGAATCAATGTTACTGAATGAGCTTCTACCATATGATTCAGGCAATCTAAGGCAGTCATCTGATTTGCTGGAGCATTGCTTTCTTCCAGATTGAAAATGGTCAATGATTGAAATTTGTTGATTTCATCTCGAATAACTGTTTTGGGTAGATTTTTCATATGATTGAGAAGACAAAGAGCATAAGATCGTTTTTTCCACTCTGTTGATTTGTTGTAACCTTTCAACAATGGCTGACAAGTTTCGTAGAAATATTTTTGCGTATAGAAAGGTGATATATTGAAGCCATTTTTATGGTTGTAATAATTGAAATCTTTGTGAAATGGCACGAAGTTTTTAGCAATAGTTGAAACTATTAATTCATCATTTTGATTTTGCATTAGGTTTAAAAGTTGATTGGTGAAAAAATTTGAAAACTCACCTCCTCTGATGATCAGACTACGGTTGCATGAAATTATAATTCGGATGGATGGAGTAAGCGTTGAAGAGTCTTGAAGAAATTGATTCAGAAGAATTTCTTGAAAGGATCATTGGGCTGAACAGTTTTACATGAACGTGCAAGACAGTTGAATCCTTCTAGAAATTTTCGGGTTTCACTAGAATGATCAAATATGGTTGTTATAATACTAAAAAGACAAAATCATCATAATTATACACAAATTGACACGAATGGGCAAAAACAGGTGAAAACCAATTTCTTTCAAATTTAGACTTTTTAGACTTTGTTGGTTTGCAGGGAAATGAAGCCTGAATCCATTTGTGCGATTTAATAATTTATCTGATGAACAGTTTTCGCAAAAATCGAGGTCAAATTTGAAAATTCGATCGCCTTTTGTACAGCTATGGAAGCAAATTGTTTCATGAAACTTATTTTAATGATGGTACTTTTGATAAACGACCAAGAAATGGCTATTCTGAGAAATAACATTTTCTGTTTCTCTAAAACAGATCAAGTTCCATTTTCAGTTAAACCGATCGCTTTCTGTAACTGTAAGAGTTAGCGAGCTGAAACTTATGCAATCATTATCGTAATCGTAATGCAGTCTATCGGACCTCTATTTCGATTTTTTAAAAGTTCATTAAGAGAAAAAATATCAAATCTGAAATTCAGTTCAAAAACACTTGACAAATTCCAAAAATTTTCGTACGGGTACAAAATTGGCATATAAATACCAAAGGTGCTTACTCTGATTTCCAAAACGTTACAAAATTTTCAAATATTCAAATGAACTTTCAATTCAGCATAAATATAACATGTAAGAATGTCAATAGAAGAAAAAGCTCGAAGATTGATTTACAAACTTTTCTTTGTCAATTTTAGCATCTGATGATCATGATGAGCTAACTGTAAATCATGTAAAACTAACTGTAAATGTCATTGCACAGGGAGCCACAAAAGCCTATAAAAGTTGCGCGATTGCATGAAATATAAAAAGTGAGCTTCAAGAGTCAATCTGTTGAGTGAGAGCGAAATGAATGCAAAGAAAATTTGGAAGGAGAAACTTTTTTTTCAAGAGACCACTTAATATGAACGAGAAGTGGTTCCACCAGTGTTGAACAAGAAACTTCATCATTCATTATTAACAGTATTATTTCACATTTTGCTTTTCAATAGATAAAATTACAGACTCAGCTAATAAAGAGATTATCAATCAACTTTTTGCTCGTCAATTTCAACTCTTTTTTTCCTTCTTTTCCTTGCATTTCAACTTCAAAACTTGCTGCTCATTTTCAAGTGAAAACCTTCTTACCTTTTTTTGTCTCAGATTTACTTCAACCTTTTTTGCTCATTTTCCAAACTTCAAAGTTTTCTGCTCATCTTTTCTCCCCATTTATTCATTCACTTTCAACACTTGGAATCTTCATTTTGTAACCATCATTTTCAACTTATCATCATCACCATCAACAATATTGTCATCTTTATCATCACCTCTTCAAGACTAAACTTTGATTTTTTACTTGTAAAGAGGCAACAAAATTACTCTTCACATCTGGTTATCTGAAAAGGTTGAAATTCATTTAGATCAACTTCATGGAGAATATTTTCCACCACATAATCAATTCTTTCTTCTTATTAACCTGTCTACAGGGTAAGAGTGGAAAATACTTTGTTTCAACTTTTTTTCTGATAAATTGTGATCAATCGAGTTCTTGTTTGTTGAGTAAAAAACTTTTCTTTTTTCATGTTCCCTGGATTGTGCTAAAAGTGGTCAAATCGTTACGGATATCCGAATTTATTGTTCCAAGAAATGCCTTCGAAGGATCTGATGCTCGTATTATATGCTCATATGATCTTGAAGGTTACCCTTTATACACACTTAAATGGTATCGAAATGAAGAGGAGTTTTTCCGCTACGAACCAAAAGCAAAGGAGCCTTACATGTATCTGCCCGTTAAAGGCATAAAAATAAATGTAAGTTTACATTCTCATCACAACATCTTTCAGTTTCAAACAGTTTTCATTGAAAACATCTTAGAACTCGATTTAGAAACAAAGTTTATCCAAATTTTTAAGATTCAATGAAAATCTAATTAAAGGTGTAAAAAACTGTTTCAGTCTTGATAAGTAAAGGAATGAGTAATTATCAAATAATTATCGATATTATATGTTAACAACTTGTCAGCTATTTCATGCTGTAAACTGAAAGTTATCACGAATATAAGTTACAAGTGAAGCTAAAAATAGTTTCAGTTAAACTCAGAAAATACAATGTAAAAGATGAAAATGTACAAATTGTTTTGCTTCTGTAAACCAATATTTGCTTCATGATTGCATCCTTTTCAACTCACGTGTTTCAGTTCACATATAAACATGATAAATCAGTAAACATTAAAAGTCTCAGAATTTCAAGGTTGAATCCTTTTCTGATCTTGAAAGAATGTAAGTTGAAAGAATCTCTGAAAATGTCATTTCCACTCGGAAAAGGTTTACTATCTTTGCTTCTTCATTTTTATGCTATTCATTGATGTGAATCAGTCATCTTTAGTATACCGTATCCGTGCATAATGTCACTCGATCAAATACGAACACTTTCATGAAAAATTCTCTGTTAACCGATTAATGTCGAACTTTGCGTATTTTTGTTTCCTGAGTTGGCACACGCTCTGCTAACTAAAAGGTGCCCTCATTGATCATTACACTAAGAGCACAGTGACACTGGGCACGCGGATACGGTAAGTCATTAGAGATCGAGATGAAAATTAATTTACTCGATCAAGTTTATCATCAGAATATCAGGCATTTTTCGTCATGATTTCATGCTAAGTTATCCTGGGACTGAACCAGCAATACTCATTGGATTTACATAAAGTTCATGCATTTAATTCTTAACTGAAACTTGATACCATTCCACTCATCATTATTGTTTTCATCACTTTTATCAACAACAGCCTTTCTAATATCATTACACCATTAGTCGTGTTTCATATCGAATTAAGAAGAATCAGCATTTTCTTTCAATCTGTTTCATTTTGTCGATCAATTTTCAGTAGAAAATGGAGTGAAAAAACAGGAAAAAAATTGCAAATTAATGAGAAAATATCTTGTCATTTGAGTCAATTTCTGTCAATTTTATCAAATTTACCATTTTTCATCAAGTCTCGTTCAATAAGCAAAGTATGCAAATTTTGATTGGAAAATATGAATCCAGCAAAAGGCTGTCCAAAATAAGCTGTTCACTTTCATCATTATTATTGAAGAGGATCAATTTGTTGATCAAATTTCACGATAAACCTGTCAACTCTCAACTCTTTTATCATTTAAATTAAAATTCCCAGGAAAGTGGTCAACACTGGCTACTTGACAATTGACTTTTAACAAGTTGATAACAAATAATGGCCACAGTCAACCAATAAAAGATAATTGTTGTCAATTAAATGATCAAAGTGATCTTAAAGGCTGCTAATAAATTCAATTTCCTTCCTATTAGACTCAATGCATGTTAACAATGATTAATGTTAACTACTAATTATTCAATTCAAATTTGATTAACTGTTGCCTTTTCTTTCCCTTTTTGACCAACTGACAGAGAAAGCGATCCAATTCAACTCACATATTATTATCCAATGTAAATAAATTTACCGAAGGTTCTTTTGCCTGTGAAGTTTCAACGGACATTCAATTTCAAACTCTACACCAAGAAAGTCATCTAACAATTGTCGGTGAGTATTCAACGTTAAAATCTTATTCGATTTTCCTTCTGATTTAGAGTCTTCAATTTCAATGGCAACAAAATTCAGAACTTTTCTGTTCGAAATTTTCCTTCTTTTCATATTGATCAAGTTTTGCAAATTCACAGTTGGGCTTTAGTTTTCATGATGAATTTTGTGTTTCTTTTGTTGTATAAAGTTTACTCAAAGAACGAAAATTAACTCAAGAACGTTTAGATTTTCTGAAGAAATTGTTTTCCATCAAAGAATTGGTAGAAACTTTTGATGTTGATGTGTCATGATGAGAACAAAAGAGTCGAATTCGGTCAGAATTTTTTATCGCTAATTTAGACTCAATTTAGCCATTTAGATGTTCTTTCAGTTTATCTTGATCAATATTGACTGAAATGTCAAAAAATGATAAATTTTGGTGAAAGTATCTTCTTGTTGTTCAAAAAGCACAATCAATCAGATCAAATTTTATTCTTGATTGTTACTTATTGACTTGATTCAACATTTGATTCACTTACTCTTTACACTGTTTCAATCAATTGTCTTCTCCAATTTTGTATCATTGGTCAAGTTGACCATTTTATTGGTCATCTCAACAATAAACTCTATTCGAATGAAGAAGAGAGGAAAAAAGAGGAAAAGAGAAGCAAAAGAAAAGAAGATAAATTAACACTCTTAATTGAGCTCAATACAATATCCTGTTGAAAAAAAGGGTGAAAATGAAAAGTACTTTTCCTCTTTAGCCAACAATAACAGAAACTAAGTAAATGCAGTAAAATTGGTCATTTTCCTGCTTCTCTCATCATTGTTACATGTTACATCTTTTGCCATCCTCTTTATCCTTCTTCACCATCTTCATCTTTGTTTCAATTAAGATTTCATTTGACTTTTAAAAGGAACCAGAAAAAATAACAAGAAAAGTATAACAACCGCATCCTTAATTATTATAACATGAAACTCCTCTACTTTATCCTCATCTTTATGGCTACTTAAGAGTCGAGTATAAATGTAGCTCATTGTCTTTATCCTCTTCATCCTTATCCTCATCATTCTCATTGTTAATTGCACTCAATCAGTTTCACCACTTTCAGTACATTCATTGAAGAGCAAAATTTTTCATCTTAATATTCAATAGCATTCACTTGACATTTTTGTGCAACTTTTTTCTCTTCTCATTTCGTCGAATTAAAGAAGAAATTAATGAAAAGAAAAAAATTTTCAGCAAAACTTGAAACTTGTCTGATAGGAATGGTGTTGAAAGTGTTTTGCATTGAAGTAATTTGAATTCAACAAAGGTCTTCTGGTGCAACCAAAGAACAACAAAGTTGTTGACCAAGAAAGCCAACAATTTAATTAACCACATTACCTCAGCTGAAACACACTAAAAACATTATCCACTGGTCAGTCTAGTTTTGCTCTATTTTCCTCTTCTTTTTTTGTCTTCTCTCTTTCTTTGGCTCTTGGTCAACTTTCATCAACCAGGGAATCCCATTCTAGTCTAAAAATTGATTATCCTCTCTTTACATGTTCAACTCTATTTGCTTGTTATTATTAATGTTACCTAATCCACCTTAACAATCCAGTTCTTAGTCAATGTAAATCAATAATATTTAATTCCTCAAGAGGATCGACTCTGAAAGAGATCACAGCAATGTCAATGAGTGTTATTGTTGTGGTTATAAATAGGTTGAGGTTGCAATTTTAAGGCTCTAACACTTTGAAACTTCAAGCAAGATTAAGTTGCATTATTAAAACTTGTTCAACTGGCAAACCATTGACTTGCATCGGCAATAAAAAGATTAATCATTTGCAAAGTTTCACTTTGATTACCTTTAATTTAACCATTTCAACTGATTCACTCCATCCATTGATGAACCTAATGACATCTTTTTTTTCGCCTCCTTTTTTGCACAATTACTTGTAACAGAACCAAAAGTACAATGTAATGAGGGAAAAGGGGAGAAAAGTTTCAACAAACAAAGTTGCAAAGTTTAATATTGATAGTAATGTATACTTCATTAGGCTTCGATTGCCCTGCAAAAACAGAATCCATTCAAGTGAAGATGAAGGCGAAGATAAAAGGAGGAGAGAGAAGAGAAGAAAAGTGTTCAAGATGAAAAAGATTCAATGAATAACAGGGAAGAATGAAAGAAGAGGGCAGAGAAAAAAAGAAGATCAAGAATTGATATTGAAGGAATTTTTGTTTAGCGTAAATTGACTTTCACATAATAGTAATAAAAACCATCCTCTTCATCATCACCATCATTATCATTGTTAATTTATTTCTTAATAACTTTCTGTTTCATTCTCTTTCTCCATGAATCTTCTCATCATCTGCATCTTCTTTTCCGCTTTTTTTTAATCATCATTTTCCAAATATTTTCCAACAAAATAATCTCAAGAATTTATCCAATCTCTTTTTGTGAGCAACTTTCTTCTTCTCGCCAAAAAAGGCAAAATCAAAGTCCAAGTGATTTACACCGATAACTGACCATTTAACAGTTTCCTTTGATTGTAATAAATCTTGGCACAAATTGATTCAACTCACCAGTTTCACTTAATCATTCATCATTCCATTCCATATAATATATCCATCAGTATGTCAGGTGTTATTCAGTGTTATTGTTTCATAACTCAGAGTTTATTAATTAATCAATGTTTCAATTGTTTATTAAGGTGACAATTAATGTTCATGTAAATATTGTTCAACAGCAGTTTCAGGGAAAGTTAATTAGATTTTTTTTCTTCGCCAAAAATTCTTTCAATTTTCATCTTGCAATATTTCTTGAGCCATTTCACCTTTTCACTGTTAATTGAAGATTAATTCAATTAATAATCAATTTGAATTTCGTCTTAAAAAAGTCCAGCAAATGCTGTAAAGTGTTCACTCCCAGTAACAAGTTGACTTTAATTAACTAATTGATTTATTAATTTTATCCTTTTTCTCTTTTTTTCATTCTTCTCTGAGTCTTTTATGAATCGATATTTTTTATCTCTTCTCTTGCTCCTCATAATTAGTTTATTTGATATTTTTCATAATGTAATGTTAACCGTATCAAATGAACATTTTTATGCTGAAATGCACCGAATTCACTCTGCATTTGGATTGTATTACATATGAGTTTTTATGTGTAAGATAATAACTTGAAATGTTTAAGAAACTAGACTTGAAAAAATAAGAATCTTGTTACAGAAAAATGATAATCTTTTTTTTCCTTCGCTTTTTCCATCTTCTTTCAAATCATCTTTTCAATAAAAATATTTTCAGAGGGATCAAAATTCAATTGCAATCGGAATGAATATGTTATGATTAGACATTCTCAATTGTACAGTTTAATCAAGTTAATAGTTGACTGAAAATTGAAACTCGCCTAATGCATTGATTCCAGATTATTCAAACTGATAAGTTTGGACTCTTTAAAAATGATACAGTCGAGACAGAACAGATTGTAGTTTGCAATTGAAACAATTTTTATGATCATGTCCATTCACTGGACTTCATCTTTCGATATTATTTTGCAATCGATTGCAACAAAAGTGAGCTTATCTTGTCCATTCATTAGTGTTGTACTTTGGCTAGGCTTGCCTTAGACTTTGCCTTTTGACTAGTCTTGACCAATAGAATAATAATTATTTATTTGATAATTTTAGCTGATTAAGGTTCTCACTACTTGTAACAAAGGCATATGGTCTCATCTAGTCAGCCTTCATCTTGTCACAAGTCAAGTGATCTGTATCAACTAATACTGTGTCCATTGACTGTCTTATCATCATTTGTCAATCAGTCAATTGGAGTTGTTTTTACTTCCTCATTTAAGCATCGATTGTAATTTGCTTTCATAGACAATAATTGCTGAGTGATTTTCTGAATGAAAAATGTTAATCATTTTACATGATTGCTCTTTCTAGTTCATGTCTTGTGTGTCATTTTTTGGCTCAAAATTGAATCTGTTGTTACATTTAAAAGACAATATTTTTTCCTCTTATTCTTACAAGAAAAATAAAGTTTTACTTGTGTTTTTGTTTGTTTGTCAAATTGAACAGCATTTTGAATTTTATCTTCAAGAAAAGTACACATAAAGAGGGAGTGAAGGTAAACATATCACTTCTCTCTTGCAGATTATGTTTCGATATGTTCTTTCAATGCTCACAAACTCATATTTCTCATGTATTCATCTTTTATTTTACCTCACTATTTCAATTCCCACTTTACAAGTAAAAAAACAAAGACTTTTAAGTCGATGATATCGTTGATAATAATTTTACAGCTTAGTCTTCACCAATTGAGCACATTTTGCTCATCATCTTTTATAACGATGAAAATCAGGTTTTACAATATTTTGCTTCAACAAAAAACATTTTCAACCTTTTTTGTTTTCACAAAATTTCCTTCCTTTATAACAAAAAATGTTATCGTCTAATATTATTTTATGTTCATTCCTGTTATATAAATCAAAAACAGCTCTTTGACTCAACACTTAAACAGCAAAATTTCATATCACAACTTGACTTTTGGCAAACAACAAATTGTTGAAATGTTTTTCGCTCCAATTTACTGCAAGGTTAATATGTAACACATTCACAGAAGATTCATTTTCATTGTTACAAGGCCAAGGTTACTCAGTTATTTCACCTCTATTCAAAGGTCATTTTCTTGAATCACACTTATGATCTAAAGGCTCTTGCCCAAGTCGAGGACAGTCTCGATCAAAAGCAATACAATCTTTTCTGAGAGCACACTGATGAGACTGGGCTGGCAATTTTGAGTTTCCACCAAAACTGAAATTCAAGATTATGTGTGAACCTTGATGAAAAAAGTTTTGCATAAAATTGAGAGATTTTCTTTGGATCATTCCAAATCGAAATTACAAGCTTGCAGAAGTTTTGTTGATATTTAAACCGATAAAATGTCTGAGAACAAAAAAGCTGTCGACTTTATCTTTTGTTTGTCAAACCAGATGCACTGTCAACTCAACTGAGCTTTTCCTCCTTTCAGTTTTCAACCAATTATCTTCACAATTTGGTCCAACATGCGATTATTAATTATCATCAGGCAACATGGTAGACACTTTTTTATTCTGCCAAAATGGATAAGTTATATTGCCCTTGAGGAAGATACTTTTGATTCTTGATCATAATCATCACCATCATGATCGTCATTTCTCTTTCGTTGTAACCGAACAAGAAAACCCATTGAAGGTAACATCAATCATGAAAAAAAGTAAACTAATGGGTACACCAATCAAAATTAATTGTCAACCCTGTTTCTCAAGTGAATTAATACTTGTGTACACTTACATCAATGTTATATGATTACTATTGGAAATGAGAGGAAAAGAGGAGAAGAAGATGAAAGAAGAAGAAAAAATGATGCCAAAATGGGTGTTGATGATGATAGTTAAGATCATTTATTTATTGCAAAAAAACACAAGTCAAAGCATAAAAAGTAGCAATAATATGAAAGGGAAATGCTTGAAGAGCGAAAAAAGACTTTTCACTTTTTCCTTTTTATCCTTCATCTTTTCACTTTATACTCTTAAAGTTGATCATGAAGATACTGATAATGACACTATTTTCATCTGACTGTACATATGAAACAAATTGCTCTGGTAAAAGTGAATTGATTGTAATTTTTGTTTTCTCAACTTAATCTCACTTCAACTTTTCTTGCCTCAACTCTGATTGTTTCAAAGTAACTTTAGTAATTGTCTTTATCTTCCTCCCAACATTCACTTGGCACATTCATTGACACTCACATTTCTCACTCCCAGGACAAATTATTCACTCCCAGTTATTCAATTCCTTTTCCCTTTACATTCGATTCTTGGCCATTTATACTTATTCTTTTCGTTAGTTTTCTTTTGATTTGCTCTTTACTTGAAAATTGATATAAATTTTTCTTCTAATTTAATCAATTATTTTTTGATTTATCTTTATACTTTAAACATTTTCAATTCTTGAGGATAAATTTATTCCAAAAGTTTCTTCTTTTTAAAAGTCAGCTTTCAATTGGATATCAAATTTCATGAATCAACTTTAGATTTAGTTTAATGCTTTTGTGTGAAAATTCACGTTTAAAATCACATTTAAATTGCATCTTTTGTTTCGCCAAGTTTTCAATGTCAAAATGAAATATATTTTCATGGAAATTTTGCTCCATTTAGTTGGTCAAATTGTTCATATTTAAAACTTGTAACTTCATTTTCTGTTTTCTTTTATTGTAACAGTGTAAAGTCAAATATCATTGAGAATTGTAAAGTATAATGTTAGGATGGAATTGAGTGGAAAAAAGTTTGGATGAAATGTTTAAATCGAGAATGAATAATCTTGTTACAAGTCTATTATTGTGTAACAATAGCAGCTTGAATCGTTTAAAGTTTCTTCAGGTAAAATGATTGTCAATTTCCGACAAAGGCAAAACTGTCTTCCGCGTAACCGGATTGTTCCGTCTGTAAATTAGCTTTCGAGACAAATGGAAACGGAAATGCGATTCAATGAACCATTAAAATATACATTATAACTGTTGATAGAAAGAAAATATGAGCAATTTTTAGTTCTTTACTTGTGGAAGCTGGTTGAAAGTAGAAAATGAATGTAAATGAATTGACACTGAATTCAAAATTATTTGAATTAAGGGTCAATTCATTTGGGCTGAATTGAACTTTAATTTCAAGGGTGACTGAAAATGGCTCTGCAAGAGTTTCATCTTGCATATTATATTTGGTATAAATATTGAGAAAACATTTAATTATTTAATAATATTTTCAATGTATAATATTATAAATAGTATTATAATATACTAACTTTTACTGCTCATGTATTGGCTGATCGTTGACGGGACTTTGACATTTTTTCTATTTACCGAAATCACCGTGAATTTGGTTTCCAAGGAATCAATCTTTAGCAAATTCAAATATAATATGTCTGCACCTAATATCTTGCATTCGGTATTACGACCCTAGTTTTGAGACACAGATAGCTTGCAAATCGATTCTTAAAAAGGTTGATGAAACAATTTTTTGAATCTTATGAGAGAAGTAACATAGAAAAAGCAAATTTTTCAATCTCTTATATCCAAGCAATATTGAAATTTTTTTAAAGAACTAAGATCATGGTTGTGAATTAAAAGCATCAGACTGAATTTTTCTTCAGTAAACCAATCTAATGAAACAATCAAAATCTGACATGATATTGATTTTGATGTTCTGATCTTGTCCGATCTAACTCAGAGTTGAATGTTGAGTGGATTTCATAAAAGCGAAAACCGCATGAATAAAATAAAGAATTATACAATTCAAGATCGAAGTTTTTTATTCTGATTTATTGGATACATTTGCAAGGATCAAAATCTTGATGCCATGAATTTAAGCGGAATCGAGTGATTCGCAAGTTTTTTTAGTCAATTATTTGAAGCCGCTTAAAATTTTTACATCCACTACTGGTTTTCCAACAGGAGGCGATACACCAAATTTATCAGAATAAACGCTTGTGATGAGAGCTAGGTAAATGGAGAGGGTTACTAATATTTTAGAGAATTGCATTTTTCCTTTGACTTTTTGGTTTTAAACAAATTGATAAATAGTTCAAATTGATGTCAAATGACAACTAATGATGCTCAATAAGAAACGACCGCCTTTTATACTCTTTTTTGATCAATTGTTTGCTTATTTTATTTCCTACAAGTAAAAAGTCAATTTTTGAAAACACAAATGTGCACACGCTCACTTCAAACCTTGTGTCTTGTCAAATATACAGTATTTTGATAATTTGATTTAAAAATGCTAATCAATGAGACAATTAATAGGTCATAATTTATGCGACAAAAAACAACACTATTCTGTGTACATATTATTGAATAATTGCCAGACAAAATTGTGCGTTCAGGCTGCTTTTAAACGGCACAATATATTTACGTTTTCAGAATTTCATTTTCTTCACCACGTGTTCTAATATGTCATCTTTTTTATTTTGAAACAGCTTTGCGTCCTGTATTTTCTCCAGGATTATCAATAATAAAACTCAGCAATTTAAAGCTTCGCATTAAAATTTAGAGCAAGGTGTGAAAGTGTTACTCACGGTGCTATTATACTGTTACCGGATGTACCTGGTATAATCAATGTGAAAATGAACAGCGTTCTTTGCTGACTTATGTTGACATTCGTTAGAACATCATGATTCTCTTGAGTGCAAAGTTCTGCCATTTAAAACTTAAATTTATACGAGCCAATAAAATATCGATACATGAAAAGAAAAGCACTGTTTTATGTTTCGAAGAAGAAAAATTATTCCAATTCAACACTTTATCCATTGCTTTTGATTGAGCTAACATTGCAATCGTTCATAGACAAATGATGAAATTTATTAAATAATATGAGAAATGAGCGAAAATAAAGTGACAATGTCATCATGGCGAATCATGCAATAGAAATGAAATGAGACAAAAAAGAAAGTAAAAGTTGTAGAGAAAAGGGAAAACGAAAACAGATTGGAAAATGAATTGTTCAAGTTACTGACAGTGTTTATCTTCAAGTATATTCATTGTTCGTGATCAGCGTCCATGGAGAATAGACTTGAAAAGTAAAAGTTGTTTCTATTCTGTCCTGAGTGTTTCTCCTGAAAGGCAATGCAAGAAAAAATGTTTATAAATGTGAAAGAAAAATGACAATAAAGTAAAGGTCATTTGAGATGGAATAAATTTCCGGTTCTCAAGGTGTCGGTCATTTATTCAATCTTTCACTTTTTGTTGTCCTTTTTTTGCTCTCCTTTCTTCTCAATATGTGTTGATGGTCAAGCCTCTCTCGACTCCCAGAAGACCAATAAACTCATCAATTCTTGGTGGTTCAAGGCAAAGAGGCAGAAGAAGAAAAAACTTGCAAAACTAAACAAAAACAAAGTTATAGCGAACGAAGAATGCGAACAAGAGAGAAAAAAGTAAACCTGAAAAACTCATTTCTTTTTATTTCCATTCCGAGCCTTTACTCCCAGCCAACCAAATGATTCACTGTATAATGCTATAACAATATCATGATAATCATTGAAACTGTAAAGTAAATGGCACATTAATATCAAAAGGCATCTCATTTGTTGTTACCAATATTTCCTTATCAAGATAATCACATTCAATACTCCAAAGCTCATGAGTAACTTTTTGTTTGTTCATTGATGGAACCATGATAAAGAGAAATTTTTCTAATCCAACTTTTCCTTTCCATTTCCTCTAAATTATACAACTTTAACAGCCTATTAAAAGTTAATCTATTCACTGGATTTGTAGTAATATTGAAATAATAGTTGCCAAATTTTCCTGAGTAACTTGTTGCTATTTATTGATCATTTTTGCTATCAACACTTATCATGAAAATTTTACTCCAACTGCAAGTGCTTTACTTTGAAACGAGTTTATTCATAGAATTCTTTCATAAAGTAGATTTCCAATCATGAATTTCTTTTTCTCCTTTCAACTCTTCGAATGTATCATGGTGATGAAAAGAACTCATTTTTTTCTTCTTTTTTCTATTCATTTTTCATTCCAGCCTCAAGATCATCGGATAATTTGTCAACTTACAGTTCCAGGAATGTAATTACAGTCTTGTTGTTGCTTCAATTAATGGTTTCCCATCAGATAATCAAAAGTCATTTCTCAGTTAATTGTAAGTATTATCTTGAAATGTTCAATAATCGATGAATCGTCGAGATCAATTATGCAAAGAAAATGAAGGAACAAAAATTCATCTCAATTATGTTGCAATTTAATTTGTTGATAAATAGACAATAATATTATTATCTTATATTGAATGAAAATGAATTGCTTAGGAATGCTAATTCTTAATTCACTTAGATAATGGAATAAAATATCTTTTTACTTCTTTTTTGCATCTTATCCTGATTCACAAACATGAATAGGAAGGGAAAGAAAAAATGAATCAGAAAATGAAGAGAGAAACAAAAATGAAGCCAAATGTTATTATTAGTTTAGCTTTTGTGTGTGGTGTGTGTAAAACAAAAGACAAAATCATTGAACTTGAAATTGTTATGTTGAAAAGGAAAGGGTTAACCTCATTTTCCATGATTATCTTTATCATGATAATCATTTTTCATTGAATAAGCATTATGGTTAGGTAGAAAAAAATGAAAGAGAAAATTAATTTTTTGCTTTTTGTCTTCTTGCTTTTTCTTCAATTTCAGTAAATGTTGGAAACTCTTGATTCTATCAAGCAAATTATTGGATTAACTTGAAGCCCAGTTGGATTATTAAATTACAACCATTAATCTTCATCTTGTTTCATCAGTCAATTATCAAGAATGAGAAGGAGAAAAAGTGAACAAAATCGCAAACATGAAATTTTTTAGTCTCTTTTTTCCTGTTACCAAAGTATTACCTGATATAAATATCATATGATAAGTTGAATAAAATTTTACCATTGAAATTGAATTAATTGAACTCGTTCGAATTGCGATATTCATTTCCTTATCACAGCGCATTCTTAACAGTGTGACAACGATTAGTGGCAGTTTTACAAGTTGGGAGAATAATTTCGTATTGATAATGATAGAGATTTCTAAAGTCTAATAATTATGAAAGTGGGTAAAATGTTCCATGTCTATTCTGATGTTAGCGATGTGAAATATGATAAAGGCAATAGAAACCATGATATTGAGTGTCGAGCGTTGTTCAACATAGAGCTGCGATCTGATCATAAAAATCGAAGATAACAGTTAGAATTGATATTCAATATTTTTCAAGTAATACATGTATCTGTTGAATGTGCGACTTTAGAGACTCTGCATGCATGAGCATTGATCGCTAATTTATATATGAATCGGAGATTTTTCTATTAAAATCGGTAATATTCAAGAGATTGGCAGGTAGTTATAAATGTTTATCCAATTGTACATTTGAGCTAATATCTTTAATCAAGTAGTCACCAGTTTCGTTGACCTTACAGTTGTAAAAATGATCGAAATTAGCATTAATATTGGCTATGAATGTTTATTCAAAGTAAATCTTGGACTTGTATGTTGAGAATTGACATCTGATGGTGCTTTTGATGAGATAAGAAAAGACTGCATTTAATAAACAATTTTCGAAGTTTTTTGAAGAATTTTCGTTAAAGTTAAAAGATTGATTATATTTTTGTTGTTTTGTGGATCGCGATTTATTTTTAGGCTTTTCTCATTTCAATGATTGCTCTTCGTCGATATTTCTCAGTAGAAATTGTATAAATTAAAATATTGTCCTCGAGTCTTAACATTTTTCTATCTACAACCATATTGATTAACTGTGAGACAATAGAACTGAGCAAATAGACGATTAAAAAAACTATAAAAGACAGTCGTTTATTATTGAACATTATCAGTCGTCAATTGGAATTAATTTAAACTAGTTACCAGCCTGTTTTAAACCAAAAGTAAAGAGCTAAGTAAAAATGCTACTATTAGGGGTATCAAAAAGTTCTGTCGTTTTTTTGCTAATGATTTAGCTTCAATTTTAAATAAGTTCTGATTATTATATTACTCCAATAATTTCAGGGATACAAGATCATCTATTAAATTGTATGCAGGCCATTTTTTGATGCGATCGGAGTTAATTAACTATGATTAATTAGCTAATCAATAAGCACCAATTTAAGAAGAAATTTTACGGTGTCAGAATTTATTGATATTTTTGATGAAAAAATTGAAATTAAAATGAAAAATTAACATCAATCGAAAGCTCAAGGTCCATATAATTGTCGATTAAAGTTCGATACTTCTAATCATTACCATTATCAAATGATTCTAATTAATATCTCAAAAAAAAACTCATTTTTTTGACTATTTTCTATGAGGATTTCCAATATGGTTTTCATAAAAATTGGCAAAAAGTTCAAAAAAGTCTTTCTATGGAAATTCAATGTTAAACTTTTTTCCACTTATGATAGAACAATTTGATAATGGTAATGATTAGAAGTATCGAACTTTAATCGACAATTATATGGACCTTGAGCTTTCGATTGATGTTAATTTTTCATTTTAATTTCAATTTTTTCATCAAAAATATCAATAAATTCTGACACCGTAAAATTTCTTCTTAAATTGGTGCTTATTGATTAGCTAATTAATCATAGTTAATTAACTCCGATCGCATCAAAAAATGGCCTGCATACAATTTAATAGATGATCTTGTATCCCTGAAATTATTGGAGTAATATAATAATCAGAACTAATTTAAAATTGGAGTAAAAGTTGGTGGTAAAAAAACGACAGAACTTTTTGATACCCCTAATATATAAAATCGTATTTCTCGCCATAAACATGGTTCTGATGTCCATTCTCAACGCAAACGTAGTGGATCAAGTGAAGGTAAAGGTTCCGATTCCTATAAATACAAATAATATAAGAGTTTTATAATTATGCAAGCAATTAGTTACTAACATTTGCAAATCTGGACCTGTTATAAAATGAGTGATCCACCTTTGGGTTATAATTTTGATTCTTTCAAATGTATCCAATAAATCTTAATAAATTGCTTTGATTCAAAATAACATTATTTGCTCATCTTCATCATTTTTCGCGTGTACCATTCTTTCGATTCCATACCAAAAGTCAACAAAACTAAACCTTCATACATTCGCCTACTCCTCAATCTACAAGACTAGACGCTAACAGAAAATGTTATAATTCTGCTTAAGGGTTTAAATGAAACCGATGTGAAATGAAATGTCTGCTCAAGAATGAGAAAAAGTGAACAAAAACGTAAAACACTACCATTTTTTAGTCTCTTTTCTCCTGTTACCAAAGTATTCCCTAATATAAATATCATATGATAAGTTGAATAAAATTTTACCATTGAAATTGAATTAATTGAACTCGTTCGAAATGCGATATTCATTTTCTTTTATTAGCTATAAGAATCATTTTGTATTGATAATGATAAAGAAATTTCTGAAGTTCAATTAAGTACAACTTCATACCGCCAAAAAAGTGAGTGAAATCTTTGCAGATTAAATGTCTATTTTGTTATGATGAAAAATAACATGATAAAGATAAAAGATTGGCGAGCGATATTTGCAATGCAGAGCTATGATTTGTTCATACAAAATCTATGATAGTATCGATAACTTTAATAGTTTGGGGTGCGTAAACCGAAGTTATAATGTAAAATATCTATCATTCTATTAACTTGCATTCAATCTCATCAGTACCACTCTCGTCTTCAATATACGCAGATTCACCTTGAGTATCATAAAAAGGACTGTTTAGTCGAATAAATGCATCAGTGTCATTGAATGGATCAATGTTTGAGACAATGTTTATTTAATAGGGCCCTACTACCATCGAACTAAGGATGATAACGAAAGGCATTTAAAAGACAGGAGATGAAATTTCGTTACATTTTTACTTTTTACTGCTGGGGTTTGTCCAAATTGATAAATAAGTAAAACTGACTTCAATTGTTAACTGATGCTTTTGAATAAGAATCTATTTACTCATTTATGTTGGTTTAGAGTAGTTAATCAAAATAGTCATTGAAAGACGCTAGGCTCGTGGATAATATTTTAATTAAATATTATTATGATACTTTATTGAATAATATCTGGTTTTTTAGTTTAACTATTCACAATAACAAATTATTACGAATAGAAGGTTTTTTATTTTTAGTTTTACTAACTCCGGCTACAACCTGGATCTAATACGACTAAATTTGTTTAAATTTTGTTAGACATTCCGAGTGTAATGACTTGAGAAGACTGTCATAGCTGTTTGATTCACTCAACGGTCTGCTATGCATATTTTAACTACAAAAGCAGATGTTATTGTAACGAATTTATTTATCATTAAAATCTTCTCCACGAGCCTTATTTTCCTTCAAAGATATACAATTATAAAATACTGATACACTACTTGTGAGATAATGAAAATCAGCGAAAGGGTTATCGAAAAAAGTATAAAAGACAGTCTTTTCCTATCGAACAACATCAGTTGTCAATTCAATCAATTATAATCAATTTACTTAATGCTTCGAAATTCAAAAGTATTTTACTTGGCTCTAACAACCATCTTCAATTCTGTGGCAGCCTTCTCTGATGATCTCATGAGGACTTATCGAGACTGGAGGATGTAACAGTAACATAAATGCCTCAACAAGTAATCCTTGTGGCGTTTTAAAGTAACCAGAAGTTAGTAAAAATATGATAACTTGGATTCATGTTTTTTTATTGTAAAAGATATATATTATGTATCCCGTGTGTTTGTGTACTGTACGCTATACGCACGTTTGTATACACGCGTTCAAATATGTTCAATTCATAACTTTTATTCTTCCATATACTTCCAATGTATCTGAATGCATTAATTTATTTTCAATTATATCATTTTATTAATATTGCGAATTAATTAAAGATAAAATCATTTTATAATACAATGTTGCTTTTCTTGCTTATTCCAGTAAGTTTCGGAACTCTTGCTTGAGTCCTACCGAACGGCAAAAGTCATGTCTAGCAATTTTCGCGAATGAGTTTTAACCGAAAACATTTTGACCTTAAAACTTTCATTGAGCTATACTCTTATTAAAGACGATAGAAGATTATTGTCACAAATTTTGAGCATCTTTTAATCTTGACCTTATATTGTCTACAATTTTTACTTTCTTATCATGAACATGATTGGAGACATATTCTGATTGAAAGTTTCTTTTGTGTAAAAAATCTGTTTCCATTGAAGGCAAACTTTCTTCCCTTATCATCCTCATGAGATGAAGAAATGATTGAGGTTTGAAAATGAAAAAGGCAACAAAAAAGATTCATTGAAAAAGATGTCTTTGTTATGGTGAAACTCTTTTTTTCCTGTTCATCATCTTTACTCTTCACTTTTGCCTTTTACTCTCATCCTCATCATCTCATCTTCATTCCCGTCATCATCAAAAGTAGTAGGAAAAGTAATAGTAGTTGAACCTCCTAACACAAAAGAAGATAAGGTTGAGGTGGAAATGCATAAGTAGGAAAAGAAAAGAAGATTCTTTATTTCTTTTTTTCCCTCTCATCATCATTCTATATCAGTGTAATCAAAGTGAATATAAGGTGATAATGATGAACAATATGGTGACAATAAGAAAGACTTGAAATGAACAATTGCAGGTTATTAGTATTGCGGACAAAATGAGATTGATGATAATGTTTGCTGGTTAGTCTTTGCCTACTTTCGGTGGACACTTTCACACTGTACAAGGTGATCATCATGGTTTCCCTCCTCAACCTCATCATTGTCAATTATGGTGAGAAATTGTTTGACACAAAAAATCAATGATCATTTGTTGCATTATTATCTCTACTTTATGCATATTGAGTGTGAAATTGTCGAACCAATTTAATATTATTTAGATGGAAAGGGATTATTTATGATTCTTGGCCTATTATTGTTCGATAACAATGTCTATTGATAAATTGAACTCAACATC